TGACCTCAATGATAATTTATACATATGAAACCAAACTTAAGTTTGCAAAGGTAGAAATGGAGCAGAGCTGTTGTGCTGGATTACATAATTTTGTATATTTGCACTGGGCATGTATTAGTTTGGGACCTGCTCATGCAAATCTATACCCTTGCTTTAGTTTGTGAAATAAAAACATTGACTTGAATATTTACCGACACAGATATCCTGTGATAATACTAGTCCCATAAAGTTTTCTGTTTGCTCTGAGACTTTGGCCAACCTTTTACCCGATCAATACTTAAGGAGACAGTTCAAGCCAATTTAAGAGAAACCATGACAGTATCTGAGGTTTGAATTCAGTAGGCTCGTCTCACATCACAGCATTAAGACAGATTCTGAAGAAAAGGCTCAAATCTATCAGAGGAGAGAAATCTCATCACGATGAGATTGATGACTTGCATGAAATAAGGTTGTATGGATTTTGTTTTGGATCTTTCAAAGGCTCAAATTGTAAATGTAACCATTGGGTTGTAGATATAAACAGTTTGATTATATGTGCACTGTGTGCCTTGATGTTTGATTTGGGTGATGTGTATTTAAATATTTCACTTTCTATCCCAATGCGCCTCATGAAGCACAGACATGGTGGGGATAGGATCCAAATTATGAGGGCCCAGGGTAATATAGGCTCATGGGATCCTGCTCATGTGTAGGTAATAAAAGTGTTTTTCTTTTCCACTGAAACACAAAGTACTGCCAGTATTTCAGTGTTTTTGCGTGAATGTCAGAGACTGTAAATATTAATGGATGAAGCCTGAGTGACGCCCCCCATCTGTTACAGCGGGGGGCTCCGGAGGCTCATCATCTGTAGCTGCCATGCTGGAAATCTGTCTCAGCCTAACTTTCAGTCAACCTAACAGGAGTCTGAGAGCTGGAGCTGAGGCAGGTTTTAAGCCTCCTGACAAACGGTTACATCGTACCCACCTGCCAATCTGGTCAGCTACGCACCTAACTATGGATAACACATAAAATAAAATCAAAAACCATGATGACAATAATGATCAGACCAATATCATTTTTAGTACCAGGCTGTATAAACTGGCATTTTTGATTGTGGTGTGTTTGTGACTTCTGGTGTTCTTGGAGCCAGCCGCAAGCAAACTTCCACTTCCACATTGGCTTCATTGCCGCTTGGTGAATGTGTATGTGATGTCCAGAGTGTCTGTGTATGCTTGCTTGCATATGTAATTATTGAATTATATGCATGTGTGAGCACATCTGTTAGCATCTATACTTAATGTAAGTAATGCTTTAATAGATCTGAATAATAGCATACTTTCATGTGGAAGACAGTCATAATATGATGAGTGGTTATGTGTCTGTGTGTGTGTGTGTGTGTGTGTGTGTGTGTGTGTGTGTGTGTGTGTGTGTGTGTGTGTGTGTGTGTGTGTGTGTGTGTGTGTGTGTGTGTGTGTGTGTGTGTGTGTGTGTGTGTGTGTGTGTGAGAGTGTCTGCGTGTGTGTGTGTGTTTGAGTGTCCCAGTGGGTTGTTTTGGGAGGTGAAGGGTTGGAAAGCTGAATGCTGAGTAAGCGTTGCAGGACCAGAGCTGGGAGACTGCAGTGCTGCTGACAACACACTCAAATCAGAGCTCAGACTGATACTCAGCAGAGGGGGGAGGTGTGTGTGTGTGTGTGTGTGTGTGTGTGTGTGTGTGTGGTGTGTGTGGGGGGGGGGGGGCACTTGAAAGTTTTAAAAATATCCTATAAATTCTATGTATGTATTGCATATTGCATTTTAGCTAAACACACATGCAGTTCCACTTGCAGAAAATTTCAACACCTACTGCAGCGTTTTCCTTATCTGATGCAAAGCAGAGCCTGAGTAATGAAACAAACAAAACGTCCATGTGTTCACACAAACAAAGGTCTACATGCTCATCATGCACATGGTACAACATAAACACAAACTCACCACTACAAAGATGTTATCATTTTATATTCACAAGGCAAACAACCGTCAATACCTTTTATCACACTAATAGAGGAGCATCACTATTTGTACAAAAAGTCAAAAATATCTCTGCATACTTTCTTAATTAGACACACTTGCACAACCAGGAGAACCACGCAAGCACGCATACTGCAAGAGCCTGAGCCCACGCCCTGACTGACACACTGCGTCACGGCCGACAGTCAGAGCCAGCAGCCTTGTTTACTCCCTCTAACCTGTGTGCCACTTATTGTGCTAGAAAAGCCCTCATCTTCTCCTCCCGCCCACTTCCTCCGCTCCCATCTCTTCTCTCCACCGTGCTGCCTCCCCATCTTCTGAGTCACCCTCTGCTGCTCATATCCACCCCACCCCCTCTCCTCTCCTCTCCTGTGCTCATGTCCTCTCGCCTTCCCTTCCCTCGCTCTTAGTCGTCTCCTTCCCCTCATCTCTCTTGCCTCGTTATGAATGGCTCTGCTGGGCTCACAAGGATGTTTGTCACTCTCTATTCACTGTCTCCATTTCTCTTCCTTTCTTTCATCACTTATGTGCGATCCTCTTTCAGCCTCCTCTCTGCTTTCCCTTCTCTCCCTCTCTTATGTTTGAGTCCATTGCCTCTGTCTTCAGATAAGTGTCATCAATAATACTGTGACTTGGTATATTTACAAAAATCCAGGCTGATATAATGACCCTCAAAGCCTCTCGCCCCCACCCTCCCTCTCTGCCTGTATATTAGATTATATAACTGTGTCCCCATGGACCTTGAGGACACTGCAATCTAATTTTATCTGTTCATGTCAGTGGTGATGATGGGAGAGTGCATCACTGCAACATTTAACACAGAAAATGATCTCTATGCTCTCTGACGATTCTTGATAAAAACATCAATTAAAACATGACCCAAAAAACAAACTGGCTGCAGTCAGCCTCCCTGAAGCCAGTTATGTATTCATCCAGGCAAAGAGGATGGCTGCACTGTCTCTTCATAATACCCTGATTATTTTGGGATGTGAGATGCAGATTCCTGTTTGAAAGCAGTGTATGAGGCTAACATGAGAACAGTAAACACAGAGCTGCCATTTTGATGTTTTTCTGTGAACGGAACTCGAGAGCTGCCTCCAAGTTTTTGTCTGTTCTCCCAAAACGACCAGACCCCTGCATGGCCTAAGTTTGCCAAACAGCGCCATGTGCTGGTTGCTACATGGAACTGCATCTGGTTTGAGATTAGTTATTTTCTGCCAGCAGATTGACGTCTTGTTGTGGCTACATTAGTTGACAGAATAAAAACTGCAGCAATCAAGGGGTGATATTTATACCTAAACTAAAGGCAGCATTAAAGAGTGAGAGTTAATTACTCTACGGAAATGTGTGTTATGCTTGTGTGCCTGCTCGATTGTTGTGTGTTTCAAGCAGTGTAAAGAATGGTTAGTGTTGTAAAGAAAGAAAGAAAACGGAATCATAAAAAAAAGCCATTGGCCACACGTCTCCTCCTCTCATCATAGATTTGTGTTTCTATTTGTTTGACCGCAGAAAGGAAGAAAGAAAGAAAACAAACGGGTTAAATTATGTGTCATGTCCAGCTCTTCATCTTAAGTTATTTCAGTTTTTTCCTTGTAGTATTTCCTGTTTTATTTTTGTGTTACTTACATCTTCATTCCAACATTTTCTCCTAGTGTGTTTCTTCCCTGTTTTTTTTTTTATCATTGCTGTTTTTTGGATTTAAATTCTGCCTGCTCCCTTTGGATTTTGTCTGCTGATCTTGCTTGTCTATTTTTTTTGCAAGTAAAGACCTTTTTCTTAACCTTGAGACTGGGTGAGTGTATTGTCGTGCTTGTGCTTCTTATCCACAGTGGGTTTTTTGGTTGTACATTATGTAGCTGTGATGGGAGAAATGTGACCCACAGCGGTAGAAGAAAAAACTTGAAAAGCTTGCAAATACGAAGGGGAAGAAGAATGAAAGGATTGAAGAAAATATGGGAGCCATATGACAGTCTGCTGTGAGCCAGCAGACTGTCATTTCCTCTCCTCAGCAGCTTCCTCTTACCATTTCTAACAGACTCTTCACGTCTCTCACTGCAGACACTGTAGAGTCAGAGGAGGATTTTTACACAACTTTATGACTGCAGCATGTACGTACAGTACCGTTTGTTACCCTGCACAATATTACTTGTGTTATTTTAACAAGAATTCAATTTAACTAGGCCTATTAGCAGTTTGTATTTTTTGTCTGAGTCACACCAACCAAGAGCCCTGTCATAAAGCAGTGCAGAAACAATAAGCACACGTCCATTAATACTCATCACTGAGTGCCGATGTCAGTGACGGAGACGGTCTGATACAGTTTAAACTTTTACAGTATATTAGGTCGCCCTTAATGTCAGTTTAATGTCAGTTTACACAGGAGGAATTATTCAAGTAAGAAACAAACCTGTTGAGTTTTAGTGTGGACTCCTGACTGTTTTATGATACACTCCCCCCTCTGTTATAACTATTTGTCAATTTCATCACTCACACACGTGGTTTGGGTTACCACGGTAACTTATTACCTTTTACATCATTGTCAGTTTACCATTTTTTTCTGTTTATTTATTTTCTCTTCTTTGTAACAGTTCCTATAATATGCTTTATGGCCAATATCCTATCTATGTTAACATCAGGGTAATGATTAATGACAAGGCCATTTAAGTGGACACACACACACCTGCAAGCATGCACGAACACACACACACACACACACACACACACACACACACACACACACACACACACACACACACACACACACACACACACACCTGCAAGCATGCACGAACACACACACACACACACACACACACACACACACACACACACACACACACACACACACACACAAGCGCCAGTTTGTCTTTTTTTCTTGAGTTTGTCTTGAATTAATTAAAAGAAGAAATACCTAAAAAAATGGAAATATTTAAAAAAGGAAATCTTTCTAGGTTTAAACCAGACCCAATAGAGCAAGTTTAGCAGCCACCACTCCTTTATGTGTAAAATAAGAACATGTACAGACGTATTGACTGTCAGATGTTGTCTTTTGTCTGACAGTTGAAAGAAAACAAACAGAAACAGCATGCTGTCAATGTGACTTGACAGTGTGTTCCTGAGAATTCTGTCTTTTCTTTTAGCTAGTTTTAAAATACTTACAAAAAGTCTTTGTCATCTGATTATTATAACAGCTTCTACCCTTTGTGAATAACTGTTGTGAAAACCTACATGTACTTCCTGCAGACTATTTCTTACTAAACTGACACTGTCAGTAGCAGAACTACATAATTAGATTAACAATAGAGGTAACATGATGTCCAGCAGTGTCGCTGTGAAGAATTCAACAATCAAGTGTGGCTAGCTGCCACAGGTGGCTGCTACACTCAGGATACAGACTATGAGTCCAGAATGTCTGAGTGTCTCTCTCTGCCTAACCTCCTTTGGGTCTAGTCTGTGGTTTTGGACGGCTCCAGCGTTTTCCTCTGGATGTTATGGCTGAAAGGCATCATGAAGTCATCAAAGTCCACCTCCAGGGACAAGAGCTCCTTCCGCCGATCCATCTTTGACATAAGCTGGCTGGTGGTTGGTGGCTTCCCCCACACCTGAAAAAGACGAACGAAAAAGATACAGAGTGACACAGTGAAAAAGACAATTTGGTGTATTTGTTTAGGCAGGTTAGTGTACACATTCACCCACTGATGGCAGACGCTGCTATGTAAAGTGTGACATCAGAAGTTACTGATCACATTAATACACATTTATACACAACCAACAAAGCAGTGGGAGCACCATGGGGTTAGGTGTCTTGCCCAAGGACACATCAGACCACAGCCACAAAAAAAACTGATCTAAATGTATATCACATATTCTAATGTATGTTAAGACCACGTAATCCATCTTGTGATATAGAAATTTATATTTTCATGTAAAATATGTATATATTTTAATATTCGGGACTGCAGTAGCTCAGTCTGTAGGGACTTGGGTTGGGAACCTGAGGGTTAATAATAATAATAATAATAATAATACATTAGTTTTATATAGTGCTTTTCTGAAAACTCAAAGACGCTTCGTCAAAAACCAAAACAAACAAAACAAAAAAAACGACCAGGACAGTACAACGAAGAAGTAATGTAATGGGGGTTAGTGGTTGTAGGTAGTGTTTAAGAGGTGAGTTTTGAGGAATTTCTTGAAGGAGGTGAGTGTGGGGGAGTCTTGGATGTTTTTTGGGAGTGAGTTCCATTCAAGTCACCATGCAGACCATAATACCATAATAAAGAAAGACCATAATAAGTCTTTCCACAAGTGGAAGTGCACATACCTGGTATTATTCTATTATTGTATTTTTTCTGCCTTTATTTAACTGATGTATATATGTTTGATTTTTATTTTTAATAATTGTATTCCTTTTTCCAGTTTTTCTTGAGCTGCTGTAATGACAAAAAATCCCCCATGGTGGATCAATAAAGTTTATCTTTATCTTTATAATATGGAAGTTGGTCTGGTAGCTGGAGAGGTGCTCTTGTGCAAGGCACCAAACCCCCAACCGCCCTGGTGCCCTCCCTGTCTGTAGCATCCTCTCTCACATCTCTCCATCAATGTCCACAGGTCCTGTTTGTGCATGTGTGTGATTCGGGCCTATGTGTGTGAGAAACATGCCTCTAAATAACAGAATGTAAACCAGTTTTCAATAAAAGCAATCAGTGGCTTCAGTACAGTAAGGAAACCTGAGGAGACTGATGATGAGCCCTACTGTTTTTGGCACAAAGGTGATATCCACGGTGTTGGATTTTCCTGTAGTGATCCTGGTGTTTTCTGTGATGATGCTCTTTGAATCTTTCTGAGGAGAGGTCTTTCCTGCTGATGCAGTTGATGTCTCTGTGTGCATGGACACTTCTGCAGCAACATCCTAGAGGGGACACAAAGACTTTTAAAAAAGACCTTCATTTTATTAATGTATGCTGAGCAAAGGTTCTCCTGTGTCGCTGTGAAGTCAGTCAGATTGAGGAGGGTTTCAGATCAGACCATCTCGTAGTTTAGTGTCATCACAACAGTGAGAGAGAGAAAATACTCATTATGAGATCAGGAAATAAATGCGAAACATCTGTCAGTTTGAGAATTAAAACTTCGGGAGATTCCAGCAAAATCGACTCGTTCCAACATGACATACAACAGTGTTAATCATCAAAGAGCATTAGAAGTGCTGTGATTTCAGAATGAAAACTGTGAGAATATGAAAAATACAAGAAGTAATTAAATCACAGAGCTTGTAGGTCCAGCTTACTTCTCTAAAGAAACGTACTGGACATGAAGAATATCCAAACTCTTGACACACTAACACACAGATCTGTTAGCTACACGACTAGAACATGCAGCTGTGTCAATACAGAGTAAATCCAGATGTTTACAGCTGCCACTGATGGACCTTTGCCCCTCCACATGCAAATGATCGTCTTGTCCTCTTTTCAGGCATCTGATATATGACACCAAAAGTGTTTCCTTATTTGGACCCCTCACTTACACTTCAATCAGTTAGAGACGAACATGTCCATACACCCTCGCGTCTGACTGCACTTCACTTACTACAAGTACTATAAATATCAAACTTAGTTGTTAATGCTAATACTAAACATACTTTTAACATTATGACTGATATTGTAGCTATACATCTATCTTATTCATTGTTGTGGCTGTTTGTCTCCATCCTTCTCCTTCCTACACCTCCCTCTGGTTCACTTCCCAAGCCCAACACAGCCACCAGGTACCGGTAGATATCTGTTCATCATGAGTCTGGTCCTCCTTGATGTTTCTGACTCTCATAGGAAGTTTTTTCCTCTCCAATGTAACTTTGCTAAATGTTGCTTAGTGATGGATTAATGTTTGGTCTTTGAAGATAATAAAACAAAAAGTCCGGCCTGTGGCTTCTTTCCCACATGTCATTCCTCACTCTATTTCTCACTCACTTCTCCACTGTCCTATCAAATAAAGGCAAACAAACCCAAAATACATCTTAAAAGAAAAATGTTTTTTTTTTATTATTATTTGTGAATATATTAAATGAATCTGTGCTACAACACAACCTGGTACTTTCAGAGTCTGGATGACAAATTCAAGACTTTGTCAAAATGAAAAGAAGCAGCAGTGTGTTCTTGTTGTAACATTACCCTTGTGGTCTAATTTGCTTACAAGTCTCTACCTTACAGTAATCAGATCTCTTCACAGGCTTAGGTTTCTCATGCTGACAGAAAAAGCAGCAGTAAACAGACACAAACCATGTTGGAGGAAAGCTTCCTGTCAAGAGTTGTTTGACTTTTACTCTGTGAGAATTTCACTTGTGTTCAAACAAAGGTAGCTGCTGCTGTGAATCCATAACTAAACGCAGCAGCAGGAAGGAGAGTGGGAGTGTCGGTGGGTGAAATGTTCTTCTCAAAGAAACACGCACAGTAAAATAGGGAAGTTTTGAAGGCAGACGGTTTTAATATTTTTGGATTGGGGTGGTAAAAAAGAGATGTTAATTGCGTTTCTTTTGTACCTTTCCTTTAGTTTTTTTAGCATTGCCCCCCTTTCCTGTTTTTTTTCCTGTGTCCTTTGGTTTCGGTAAAGAATCCATTTTGTCTTTTACCAAATCAATTATCCTGGGGTCTCCAAAAGCTCTGGCAATATCCATGCAGTTTTGTTCTAAGAAAAAAGAAATATAGAAAGTTAAAATAACAGTAAAGTCACATTGTCAATCTTCAACGAGGAACAGCTTCCTACCTTCCCTGAAGGGTTTTTTGAGCATTTGAACATTCAAGGTCACATATTATGAAAAATACACTATGATGGTTTTCGTACACTAACATATGTCCCAAGTCATTCTACAAACCCCCCAATTATGACAAAAGTCCATCCTCTTCGTCATTTAGCTACTCCACTTTTCAGAAAATGTGTGCTGAAACAGGCCGTTTGGAGAATCTCCCTTTGTGACATCACAAAGGGCAGTTAACCCCTCCCCCAGGAAGGTGAGACTCCCAAAACTAGGTGTTTGTTCTGCCCTCTGAGACTGTCTTCTCACTATAAACAATCGGGCATGGTGCAAGAAAGCCAGAGCGTCCTGAGCCAACACAGCTCATTTACATTTAAAGGTACAGACACAGAAACAGTCTGTTGTGAGTAGGGCTGAAATAGAGAGGTTTATAGGCATGAGCAAATATAGGCTCCAAGTGGATTTTTACCACTACAGTTCACAGACATGTTTTGGAGAGCTCTGAGACTTATGAAAACGTGTTGAAAAGGTGGATATGTGACCTCCAGAAGCTTTTTCACATAGTATTCATATCAACAGTAGAGTTTTAAAAATCTGCATTAACATATATATCAGATGTACAGTCGAACCTTTCTTGTTCTCGGAGTAAACGTTGGCACCTGCCTTGATGAGAAAGTCCACACAGGAGGGTCGAGAGCTCTCGATGGCCCTCATGAGGGGTGTACCTCCACTGAGGCCCTTGGTATCTATGTTGGCCCCTGCCTTCACCAAGAGCTCAAGAAGTTCCACTTGTCCAGCCTGAGCCGCATGGTGGAGAGGCGTCCAGGAGAACTGGTCACACGCATTCACATCCGCCCTGTCCGAAAGAGGTATTACAATTATGTGAAACAAGAACAATAAGCAGGGGACACAAACCTGCTTGTCTTTCAGTATAGTACAAATGTCAAGATATTTTTTTAAACAGGATATTTCCCTTTTGTTGTCTATTATTTTCTGCTCTTCACTAATGAATTAAAACAGTAAAAAGACTTCATTAAAAAGTAATGTGTGCCGTATGATATGTCTACTGCTGACTCACAACAACTCCAGACTCGAAGCAATTTAAAACAACAATCATGAAAATGAGAGATTTTTCTTAAAGAGGATGTCCTGTCCTGTTGACAGTCAACAGGCTGATCAGCTTCTTGATGTTTTAAAACCAGATCACCCTGACTCTAATTCTGTGATGTGTCTTCCATTATAACTCCATCCCATCTGCAGTACTACAACCAGTAGGCTTGATATCTTCAAAATTAAACCCTTTTAACTTTTTTGTATTAAAAATGAATTATGAATCCATCAATCATTATTTGTATAGTACCAATTCATAATAAATGTTATCTCAAGTCACTTTACAAAGAGCAGATAAAAGACCTTACTCTTGGTTATATTATCTGAAAAAAAAAACAAATTAATCCATCATGAGCAACATTTAGCAAAGTTTACAGTTTACAGCAAAAACATTCTTTTAAGAGGCAGAGACCTCGAGCAGAACCCGACTCATGTTGAACAGACATCTATCACCACCACCACCACCACCACAACAACAACAATGAATAAGCTGGATTTGAAGCTACAATATCAGTATTTAACTATCTATATACATTTTAGCATAAAGGTTTAGGGTGCAATCACACTAGAACATTTTGTACTGTACCATGTTTAAGCATGATTGTCACTTTTCTTAATATGGCTGCTTCATAGCCATATCAACTTCAACTTAACACACAGTGTGCTTCTGCTTTACTGCTTACAAAGAAGCTGTTGAAGGAGTGTCTGCTGATTCAAGAATTCTGGGATATGTACTTTTTTAAACAAAATATCTGATACCACACATAACCATGGGATAAATTCTGGACTGATAGCCTACCTGTAATGCTTCAAGTTTATAGGCCCAAGGTTGGCACATAGTTGTTTGTGTGACAGAAATCAGCTATGAAGCAACATTATGAGGCTATGCTTTGGCCACCTCAGGCTGGTTTAAGCTTTGCTACAGACTTTTTGTTTTTGTTTTGAAGAGCTGAGCAGGTAGTGTACAGTGACAACAGCTGACTTCTGCTACCAGAAACAACACTGATGGAGCAGTGACAATCAAGCACAAAGGTAAAGTTGATGAGCTGATGGAAGCTTTAGAGGTGTTTAAAAAAGGAGGAAGCAGCAGATTCAGTCAATAGTGTGCACTATGATAGCTTCATCACTACACAGACTATGAAATCGTCACATTGTTTTCACACTTTTCATTTGATGAATGATCTAAACTTTAACCCTCTGAGGTCGATGCTGTAATAACGGGGTTTTGTTAGCTCTAAAAAGGAAAGGTACAACAAAGCAGGTTAGTGAAATCCAATCTTTTCGTCAGCTCGGCGGCTTTCCGGTGATAAGCTGTGTTTCTACGAAATCCAAAAGCTTTTCTATCCCACTGAGAAAATCAGTTTACAGTGACTGTCCGGATCCAAGCCTCACAAAATGAAGGTAATCCATTATGATTTAATCATTTTAGTGAAATTGTTTCATTTCTGTTAGCTCACTCAGCTAACACGGACGCTGCCATCTTGTTTTGGTCTGTTGACCAATCAGAGGCTGTATCTGTGATCAGCTGACAGGTAAGGGCCAATGAGAAGCCAGTGCAGCCTGAAACAGACTTTTTCTGCTCTCAGCATAGATATACGAAAGATAGAACTGTTTTAAATGGATTCATCCTATTCAGCTTATTCTAGTATCAGTAGATCTTTCTCTTTTTACTAAACATCTTTAAATAATGTGTAAATTGTCCTTTGGACAGGGTTAAATTCACTTAATTGCCATAAAAAAACTTAACTAAACTAAAAGCAAACTGTAACTCTTTGTTACAAAAAGTGTTGAAATATTTGTCCTCAAATCAGAAGACAAAAGAAAAGAATATATGATCTTCCTTACCCATGTGTCAGGAGATATTGAGCCACTTCATAGTTGCCACTGGTGCAGGCTGCCATCAGTGGAGTCTTGTAAAACTGATCTTTAACATCCACAGGAACTCCCTGGTTGAAAGCAAGGTTCAGCGACTCCAGGTCTCCACTTTTCACACAGTAGTTGATGTTGACGTAGACCTTTTCTGGCTTTTCCAAGTACCGCCCCGAGTCATTCATTATGGGATGTTCCGGCGGGTGATCTCGGTCAAATCGAAGGGGGTCTGAGCAGTTGTAGTAAGTCTCAATCATAAAGTGAGGAGGGCCTCCATCTGCTCTTCGGGGCATCAGCTCTGGGGGAAGTGTGCAGATAGGCATAGGAAGGACAAATTTACCCTTCTTCTTTCCTCCTTTCCCTCCCTTTTCCCCCTTCTTTTTAGGAATATACGAGGAGATGAGGAACGGTTTCTTGATGTACTTGACCCCTTTGAAGAAATCATTGATGTTGACACCCCCCTTGTCATGGGCTGAGATGACTTGATTGACCTGTTCTACATCAACTGGAGCTTTTAGGTCTTCCATCACTGAAGTAAACATTTCTGTGGTTACCGTTTCTAAATTGGCCCCAAAGGCTTGCCGTAATTCTGTCTCATACTCATAAGACCAGTCATGGAGGGTAAGGGCCCATACGTCTGACAGGAGGCTGTCACTGCTTGATTTTTGGCCTTTTCCCTGTTTTCGCTCTGCTTTCTTCAGCTCCTTGGCTGCAGCTTTGTGACCAGCGTTTTTGGCAATCTGACGTGGCAGGAAACCTTCCTGGTTCTTCACTTTCGGGTTACAACCTAAACAAAAAGCACCGTTTCAGAAAATCGTTTACAAAAGGTAGAATTACCTTGTTTCATTTGGTCTCTATTACATTCTCTTCTACGCTTTTCTTGTTTTTATTTAATTAAATATTTGACCATGACGTAAATTTAATTTCCTGGCCCTACACGTATCACAACACAGATATTGGATTACAACAGACAACAATACCGGTTCTGTCTTGACACTTTGACCACACCCCTCTAAGCATAAGTGAGCACAGAGAAACCCATATCTTGTCTCTGCAAACCAAAAAGGCATGTTATTGTAAACTCTCTCTCTAGCACCTCTTTGTGCCAGGAACTTGCAGCAGTTGGCATTTCCTGTGGCTGCAGCGTAGTGTAGAGCTGTGCAGTCATCTAGGTTGATCACACCCATGTCTGCTGAGTATGCGGACAGCACCTGAATCACCTGGAAGACACAGAACACCAAAGAGAAACACATCTAAATCCAAAATGTCAAATACCACTGTAACCCATAGACACCGCTGTGATATGGGTTAAGGCCTGGACAATACATTTAGAAAAAAATGGAAGATGTTTGGTGAATGTTAGGAGAAGATTACACTGCTATAATCATGGTCGAAACCATACATTCTGCTAAAAGCTCCTTCACTTTTATTCTGACTATAGCTTTGTATTAATCAGACTGAGCAGATATGTCACCTCTAAGAAGCCCCCCATGGCCGCATAGTGTACTGCTGTCAGTCGCTGTCGATCCAGGGCATTGGGATTTCCACCTCTCTTGAGAATGGCTCTAACTAGCTGGAGTGAGCCTGCCTTAGCCGCCCCCATCAAAGCTGTGATGCCGGTTGCCTGAAGAGTCAGAACAGAGAATTACTCAAAGAATTTAGATTTATGACATCCTCCATGGCACATCCTCAGATCTCCTAATGTCTCAGTGTTAGTCCCCTTATGCAATTTGCACCTGGTTTGTAGCATTAGGGTCTGCCCCTCCATCCAGCATGATGAGACACATGGGGGTGCACTCCTCGGCTCTTTCACACATCAACTGGAAGACGTGAATTCCCTGCGCTGATACATTGTTGACATCTGCCTGGCAGGTTAGTGCCACTTGCAGGCAGCGAGTGTGACGCTTGGTGGGGTAGATGCAGTAGAACAGCACACCTAGTTGTGGGAAAGGGTACAAAAGATAAGCAGGAGTTAATACATAGTGAAAAATATAAAAAGTGGAAGCGTAAAGGAGTGGTGACTGACTGACAGTCTCAGTCTCTTGAGCAGTAACTACAATTTTTTAAATAATGACAATATCGAAAGAAATTAAGAAAGGTTGGCCCTGACATCCCATCTCGAGCATGTTAAGATGCTTTGTTTTACATCAGCTATTGAACAGTGACTGGCAAGCCTTCAAATCAGCAATGTCATGTCCTGAGCTGTCTTCAACTCTGTCCTTGTCTCTCATCCACTCTGGTCTGCTGAGCTCCATGTATGTGTATAAAAAGAGGTCAAACCCTGCCTGCAGAGAAACACCAAACACCATGGACAACACAAACACATCACAAAACTGTTTGAATGTAGTCTACCTAATTTATGTTCACTTGTTTTATTTCAGCTCAGTGGTAGAGCCTCTTGAGTTGGAGCGGCAGTGGAAGTGGTAAAAGCGTTTACGTATCTGGGAGGTTTGACTGAAGTGCGCTGAGATGTGATCCCAACACTGAAATGATTTGTATAAAAGGCCAGCAACGTCTCTTCTGCCTTTGTAAAAAGGTTAGATTTAATGTTGACAGAACTCTCATGACTCTCGTGTTTTATACATCCTATATTCAATCTGTCTTAACAGTTTGTGTGATCAGCTGGTATGGAAACCTCAGGGTTAAGGCCGAAACCTCACTTTCTAAAATTGTGAAGGGCAGTGACGAAATCATAGGTGCCCATCAGAGCAGCCTCACTGACCTGTACAATAAAAGGCAAAATCTGCAAAAGGCAAACTCCATCCTGTCAGTCAGTGCTCCCACCATTCACTTTGAATTTCAGATACTTCCTTCTGGTTCTCAGTTCAGATTTCCCTCAGTAAAAACCAATAGATACAGGCTCTCTTTTGTGCCCAGCGACATTTCCCTCCTTAATTTAAATCGGGGGGGGGGGGGGGGGGGGGGGGGGTAGTTGTGCTGGTAATGCTGTCGGTACCAATTTGGCTGATGTTGCTGTTGGGTTTCAGTTTCAGTTTGTATCTGACCTTGGCTGTGTCGCTTTGGTGTTTCTGTTGGAAACATTGTCAGCAGTAACTCTCTCATGTATATAGGCTAATATTATTGTGGTTTTGTGTGGTTTGACTGTGTTAATATATGCACTTGTGACTTTTATTACTTAACAGTGACCTGTTTATATTCTTGTTGACTCAGCACTTTAATCTGTCTGTAATGGAAGCTGCTAAGAGCATCAGTCCAGGATCACTGCTGTTTCTCCAAGGCTGCATTAATCTGTGCCTCTTACCTTTTTACCTCATTAGCTTTCTACATGTATTTAGTCTTTTATCCTTTATCTGTCCTTTTAATACCTTGCTGCAAAATCAATCGCCCTTCTGGGACAAATAAGAGGAGATACAGACATTGGTGCTTACAGATTGCCAGTTGAACGCAAGACATTAGCAGCCCTGTCATGCCTTGTTTGCAATGGCTAACACACTAGGCCGCCCATGATCCTCCATCAGCGGTAGTAACAGAGACAGAATTGGGGGAAGTATGGTGGCAATGATGGCAATGTTTAATGTTGAAGCTGGTGAGGCGAAACAACACTGTGTGTGTGTGTGTGTGTGTGTGTGTGTGTGTGTGTGTGTGTGTGTGTGTGTGTGCATGTCTGAGTGTATGTGTATGTGAAGCTCCCAATGTGTTTACACACCAAGCCTCTCCTGCTTCCAACAACAGTAATGCCTTAACGCTATCTGCAGGCATTATGTCTCTGAGTCCCTGCCCATTTGCATCTAGGTAAAAAATATATATCTGGTTTGAACCAAATTTAGGGGTTGCTTGCAACTAGCCAATCATGGTGACGCTGTACAAACTTGCATTATCAGGCTTCTACATGACTCCTGTTAGCACTCACTCGCTCTCTTGCTCTCTCTCCTCACCTTGATGGTTCTTAAAGCACAACAGCTGTGCAACACACACCAGTTGCATTTTTCTTTTTTTTTTTTACTTTTCTGGCATGTATAATGATCTGCAGTCAGTGTCCTCTAAGTCTGACATAACTGGCTGAATGTAACAGTTACAGTGACAGTTGGCTTGCATGATTAGTGCGTCATCTGGTGAATGAGGCTCAGCAGAGTGACACTAGGCAGCAGAGGGGGAGGTGGAAGGTTTTTCTTTACCTGGAATGTTCATGTTGCCTACTTACACTTTAAAAATATCTATTCAATTGATTTGAACCAGCGGGCAACTTTAAATGAGGCAGAACAGGATTGGTGAGCAGCAAACTTGTTTGGGGCTTTCCCCCTTTGCTTTAATATACACATTATGTAATGATGCTAATCTGGGAGTGGGCAGTCTTTAAACAATTGTAACGTGCTCAAAGTAATGAGGAAGAGCAAATGCAGCTCTTGTCCATACCTTGAAATCTTTACAGTCTTTTCTTGAAACAGGCAAATATATGACTGTAGACAATGAGCCTACTGGGGTAGAGACTTGGCTGTAAGAGTTGACTCTTAGCAGAAGCAGTCCTTGGGGAGAGCAGGATCATATCAGGTTACTCAGCACATAGCAAGAGAACAATTGCCATTAGTGGTTGATCTGTAATTAGATGTAGCAAGGCTGCCTGACACACACACATGCACACAACTGTGCACACAAATCTACGTACAATATACAGAACATACATGCTACAAAAGCATGTATTCATGCACACGAGCACACATCCAAATACTTTTCTGACTAATACGACCTCTGCCTCTCTCCCCGTCATCCTCCTCCCCTCTCCCCTTCACTTCCCTTTGAGTAGAGTGCCATTTTCAGTAATTGATGCCCCGGATACACTGTAATTGGGGTCATTATCACAATTGGTTTAAAATGGTCCTGAAGAACAATTTTGGGCTGGCTGATTGGAGTTGTACAGGATACTGTCTTCTCATCAATATGTAAACAGAAGCACCATGCATTTTCATGAGCTGTAAGACAAGGCAGGGCATTTAGAACCGACCTGCTGGTCTAACATGAGATGGAAACGCCTCTATTTGAGACGTCGACACTTCGAGCTCAAATGAGAATACATTAGTGGAAGAGAAGTGGTGCCTTTGCCTCTCCTGATTACAGCTACTATATTATTTACATTTTAGGTACATTTAGGAGCTTTATGAAGGAGAGTTTCACACAGGCTCATAAGAAAAAAATATTAGAGAATATGCTACTTATCCAGAGTTAGTCAGACCTGTCTATCTGTTTGTGGACTTTGAATCATGTGTTTTGATGTTTAGAGGTAAGGTGATACTCTCTTGAGTCTTAAAGATAAATGCTAGACAAAAGACAATCATATAGAAAAGAAAGGATTAGGAACATAAGCTCATCATTCAGATTCAGTCTTTTATACAAATTGCTGCAACTGATGATTGTTTGTCTGCCTCTACTTGGTACTTATACATTAATTACCAGTAGCTCAGATGTCCACCTAATAAATGACTTCAATGACTATTTGATCAGAAACATTGTCATCAATTTGTTTTCAGTTGATTATTTTTTCAATGTACAGTACAGGCATTCGTCTATGTTTGTACTCATAACAAACTCCCCTGTTTGTTCTTATTGTAGATGAATCCAACTTCTTCTTCCATGTCTTTTACTTCTTATTTCTTGTATCTCTGTATCTCTTCACCTGATGATGTGCTGAGTGGTTGGCTGTCTTGGCCTCTGGATATTTCTAAAGCATTCCTTTTTAATTTCCTGTAACTACTCTGTCTATATATTCTTGTTTTTATACATTTTTCATTTTTCCATACACATAGTTTTGAGATAATTGCAGTTCATTTGCTAAAATATGTGACTGACCTTTGGTGCTTCGTCAGGTTTCTTTTTGAAATTCTTAAAGCCCAGTACAACTCACCTGTCAACAATCATCTTCCAAAGTGTTTAATCTTTCAAGAATTCACAATATGCCCAACCTGTACTGTATCGCAAATATTATCGCTCACCTTTGCCCTCAGCGTCTTGTAGCCTGAGGTTAGCATCATTTTCGACCAGAAGTGCCATTATGGCATCATTGCCCATCTCAGCAGCCAACATGGCCGCAGTGTGGCCCTTCTTGTCCTGAATATCAGGGTGTGCTCCCTGAGAGAGAAGGAAGCTGGCCAGGTCTGTAAGGAGTCAGGGAGAGTATGGACACAGTCAGGAGAATGAAGTGACAGTGAAACTATTTGGTTACCAGTGGAATGGCCTGATTTATGGCCTGATCCTGTAGCTTGGACAACTGTCTTTTTTTACACATGCCCTCTTACTAAGGCTACAGTCCAGTAATAAGGCCTTGCTTGCATTAAAATAATACATCACAAACTCAAGACCCTTTCCTCCCCCCCCCCTACAAAAAAACTGATGTTAATTAGGGATTTTGGAAATTGGAAACACTTGAACCTATTGCATGATATTACATTGAATTACAGATTTGTAAAGTTGCTTGTGTCAAATGCCGGCCTCTACCAGATCAGACTTCATTTCTATCAGATACTACAGCTGGCCAGTGGAGGAAGTACAGAAAAGGTTAATTACCCTGTTTGTTGGCTGAAACTGCCACTTGAAGCACCCCTATGCCGTCTTTTGGCTCGGTGAGATTGATGAGGTTGTCTACCCCAAGGTTCACCATCTTCTCTATTTGCACCATATCCCCCTTATGGATGTGCTGCAGCAGGCGGTAGATCTGAAGGACCTCCAGGCGGCCCTCTGCTTCTCTCCCACTCATTATGAGGCCAGGAAAGGGCTGGTAGGGGAAAAAAAGACTTCATGAAAAATGCCCTGTTACTTGTATTCAAGACTAATGGTGAAAGCAGTTGTATATGGCTTTTGGGAAAAGTGAATTGTTTTTTCTGGTGTTTTGGTGTTATGTCGCTTAGTTTAAAACACACAGTAGAATCAACTCAACAAAGCAAAAACACTTGTTTATAACATCGGTCAGAGGAGCCATTATGGTGGGCAATTAGAGCAGCAATCTTTTTAAAAGAGCCAAACTATATTTGAGAGATGCAGTTTCTAATTTTCACATATTTTTTCCCTGGAGTTTGACCTGAATTTAGGTCTCGACTCTTAAAGCAATTCACCAAAGTCTCTCTGAATAAGGTTAACTAAGCACTACACATATGACTAAATAAAATAAGCATTTAGCCTAGGCCTACTACTTTATGAGGGACAAAAAACGACTAAAGTATAAATAAATAAACGTTGGGAGAAATGCATACAATAATGTATAAATAAATAAATAATTAAATAAAAGCATCAATACATAAATACATAAATATATTCATATATTTATTTATGTATTTCTGTGTCCATGTTGGACAAGGAAAAGTAAATATGTAAATTAAGTGGGCCGTCCAAACATTACTGAAGTAGGATTGGTCAATTTTGAAAAACAGACAGAAGCAAATTTACATATATACTTTTCCTCTTACGACCTGGACACAGAAATAAATAGATGTGTAAATGTAAAAATACAGAAATATATTAATAACTCAATTAATGTGGAAATGTATGCATTGATACATATATAACTGTAGAAATACGCTAATAAATGAATAAATACATGTAAAAATATATAAATAGCCTTTTTCATTAACAAAGTGTATTTGTATTGTTTTCAGCATTTATATATTTATTGATGCATTTATTTAATTATTTATTTATTTATTTATACATTATTGTATGCATTTCTCCCAACATTTATTAATTTATTTATACTTTAGTCATTTTTTGTCTCTCATACTACTTTAGGTGACTTTATATAAATAGATGTGCATGTGTGTCCATTTTAATCCCAAAGTGACATTCAATTACTATATGACGCACTGCTCTTTTACTTGTAATCGTTTAAAACATGTCTAAAAGGCTATAATTGTTTTTTTAAACAAAATGTTTGAACCTTTAAAACACGAAATATATGACATATATATAACGTTTTACACCGAAACACTTAATTGAAAGGATATTCGGACTGATAAAGAATAAGTAGCTCATTTCACCCACCTGCACTCTTAAACTGAAGGGACAGCCTCACGTTGACACTGAGCTTCTTACGTTACCGTCCTGGAAAACATTAAAGTCACTGGTTGTCACTTTGTCGTTCACTTATCTGGAAAACGAGGACGGTCAAACGTATCCTTTCTTCACATCTTCACATGAGGTCTTTCCTTGATTTTAAAGCACAACTTTTCACTTCGTGTGAGCCGTAGGAAGGAAAACAAACTCAGCTCCATGGCAACGGAACGCGCGAAAATCCCGGGAAGCACTGAGCTTTAGTGGTTATTGATGCTGCTTTCAAGTGCCGCTGGTGAGCCCGTTAATACGATGTTCACGGCTTTCAATACGTCTGAAACGACGACCGATCTAAAGTACTCTGAAAATGTAATATTTTTTAAATGTATATGTTCTTTACTATTTAGATACAACTGAAATGTGTCAAATAAACACTTCGCCTACATATCTCTAGTCACATGTTGTTCCTTAAACGACACATTTCGGCAGCTTTCAGAAATCCTCCTTGTGTTGAACATTCTGTCTGGTTTAGCACTGGGTTGCTTATTCTTCATTATGACCCCAGTTAGCCTCAATAAACTGCTGGGGTCCACAGAAAACGTGGCTACCATTATTTATTTTACCACGTAGGCTATCCTTACATCCTTTATTAGGCCTATAGGTAGAATTACCTGTTCTTTGCCCCTGACCGCCACTGCATGGATCAACTTACAGTCTTGGAGAAGACTTTGTCTGAGTGTGAGTGACAGTGAGTGGAATGGCAGCTATTGAGGCAAGGGAGGCTTCAATTCTCCTAGTAGCCTAATGAATGCCAAGAATAGAAGTATAGGCCTCCTCTTTATTTCAAAAGACTTTCTTAAAGTCCTCAGGTTGATCAGCAGAAGCATCACAGCCATGTAGGTAATAAAACTGAACACATGGTGTCACTGTAGTGCAGCATTTCTTTTCAACTAACTCCTTGAAGTTTTCATTTCAGAGGAGATAAGAGAGAGAGCCAAGAGTTGAGCCAGAAACAAAAGAGCATCCAGCTGTGTGTATTTGTGAAAGCCAAAAAGTGCCAGTTTAAATAAGTGACGTCCAAAAGTATGGGCTAAACCGTGGGTGAAAACTGGCACATACTTGCTCATTTAATAAAGGAACACAATCCAAATAAAATAGAGACAGTTGATACCAGCTGTGTAAAACTTGAATACTGTATTTGAGGCATACTTGTGGCAAATCATACAAAACATATACAGTACCTAGTAAGGTGAAGTGGTGACTCATACAGCTCAAAAGGGGAAGACTGCTGACAAATATTTACATTCCTTCAATGTCATACAATGCATTAACATATGTCAAAAAATACAGTTTCACACCTTACAGAGTAAAAGTTAAAAAATACTTTGCATTGTAATAAAAAAAAACATAATTTGCAGACATTATTTCATGAATAATTTCCACAATACATAAGAATAATATATTATGTGGCCCATCAGCTGTATTGTCTCTGCAGATAATGTGCAATGTTCCTTTTTAAATCCATTTAATAATATGTACAAGCTTGATATCATGTACACTATATCTTTTAGAGACATTTTAATGACACTTTTCTAAAGGCAGGAGGTGTGTGTGTAGTTATGTAAGAGTCGTGATATCTGAAAGGGGAAGACTAGGTTCATTATTTGCTATTTTTAGCTTTGCATAAAGATTCCACTGTAAGATAGTAACAGTTTATAAGATTAAGTACTTGATCCTTCAAGAGGTTTAGATGTCCCTTAATAGGACAGAAAAAAATCCCCATTCTTCCCCTTGACAATCCTCCGGCCTACTTTGTGTTTCTGGGTAGAAGTCATGTCCTAAAATGGTCTTATTATTGTGCCGTCTTACGATTTTTAAAATCCTGTGGTTATTCGACTGAACTGTCAGTGACTTCATTTGTGCGTTTCCTTCTAAAGAATAGTGGTTTGGACTGTGACCCCCTTCGTCTACATCACTGAGGATTCAAGAAGATTGGCATCCAGCACCATTTTCTGGGAAGTGAAACAATGAATGTGTAAAAATGAAACTTCATCAGAAAGAAAAATGAAAGTATCCTCTGAACATGTGACGTGATCTGGGTTCATAGCACAAAAACTAAGGAAACCCACATCCTAATCTCTCCATCTTACAGAATTTCCTTTTGTTAACCACAGTGAGAGCTGAAGGCAATCTGGTGTAATCAGTCAAGAATTCAAGTTTATAGCACAGCATTATATATGGAATAATACGATAACCCTGCAGTGTGTTTCTTTTTAACAAAACGTACTAAAATAAAACACAATGGCTTTTTGCAGAATCTGTTGGCTTTAAAACTGTGAAACACAAACAATGATTGTGGTTGAAAAGGAACCTTTTCCCTTCCCTATTAGCACATAAAGTAAAGTATAAAATACAACTCTCCACACTGAATGAGTCCAGTCCAGTATTTTCAGTCTGTTTGTCTCTTACAGTCCAGCAGACAAATACAATGCATTCCATCCAATAGTTTCACCCAGAGAGACTGATTACAACAAGACTTCATCCAATCACACGGTCTCGTACAGCAGCGTCCCACTGAAGATGGTCAAAGGTTCAGAGGAGTAGGCCAGTTTGCCGGTGACAAGGTCGATACAGACTGTGTCTCCTGCCTGCATCGGCAGGATGATATTGAAAACAGCCAGAGCTCCAGGGATGTGTTTTGCCTCGGCCATTGGCTTCTCCAGGCCTTCAGGCTGATACCCAGCTGAGTCCACTCGGGCCACACCAGTGTTGGACTTGGACAACACCGCCTCTATCTTCATGTTTTTATGGCCTGTAAGGATGCCACTGAAAAAGTACTTCCCACTCACTGGAGCTGTGAAATAACCTGGAGGGAAGGAGGAAACAATGAAAACTTACAATTGTGCAGTTTGGAGGTCAATTGTTCGTTTACTGTAAGAACTGAATGTATGGAAACATCACTAATAAAAAGGGTCAGGTTATAACGACAGAGTTAGCTCAAATCTATCTCACCATTTATATATTCTGGTTCTATTGTCCCCATGTTTGAAGTATTCATGGCTAGATTTCTGCTACCGCTATACAATTTAATAAAGACAATTTTGTTGCTCATGCAGGTTGTCATGACACTGAAGCTTCAGTGTTTAGCCAGCTCTGCATCGGTCTTGAAACCTTTCTGAGTTCTAACCTCTCTCCATTTATCAAAAGCATCTCCAACATTTATCCTAGTTTCAAGTACAGCAGCAAACCTACAGCAGGGCTATAGGTGAGAGAGAAAACATGTTTTTATTTCCTTTTATTGGCATAACTAACCCTTTAAATCTACATCAAAATACCCTCTTTTTATGTTAGTGTTGGACATATTAAAAACAGAAAAGTAGAAGCTAAAGAGTCTTGTTTTGGGGAGAGCTTCTTCTTAAACTATTACATCTGATATAAGCTCACCTGTTTTGGGGTTGTAGACGTTATTTTCATTGACAAAGACGCTGTTGAACACTATAGTCCCTGCACTTCTCATGGGGCGAGTCAGTGCAGCGGAGAAAGAGAGGCGTGGCACGTGAGCATCGGACCCTGCATGACCTGATCTCGGAGAAGAGGTAAAAAGAAGGAGTTAGCATGGAACAGAAGATAAAAAAATATAATCAGTTCTTATTGATTATCTTGTTAATAAGAACAACACGTACCCTGTTCTCCCCTGAGACCTGAGGAATAAGATGAAGGATAAGAATTAATCAACCATCGATACAATCCTGGCTGTTATTATCATCACAACAGAGAGCAGATGTACAGGAAGATCCAAGATAAAGTTGATATGGCTAACCTACGGTTAATCAAATAACTCAAAGAGAAAGTTTATGTTTACCTGGGGGTCCAATAACTCCCTGCCTGCCCTCTCTTCCTGGAGGTCCCACCCTTCCTTGAGGTCCTACAAGTCCCTGGGGTCCACGCTCCCCTCTCTCCCCGCGTGGGCCCGGAAGACCAGGTGGACCTGAATCGAAAAAAAATACTTCATGAGACATCACAGCTGGGAAAGACACTCCTGAAAATCCTCTTCACCAGTAATGGGCTCTCTTGAGAGATTCTAAAAAAAAAACCATTCAAAGTATAAGCCAAGAAAGTTAAAATATATCTTCTGGTGTGCGTAGCGACGTGCCTTTCACCCTCATGTTTACTTAAACTCCTTCTTCAGAAGGATTATAGACTTAATAGGCTCTTTAAGTGAGTGCTTCTCAGAAATACAGCCTGGATTCTTTCTTTGGTCTATTTTTCCTTCACCCTGACCTTGCCTCCCTCAAACTGAGTGTTTTTCTCTTCTCCAAAAGTTAAATCTCATGCCCTCTGTCCTCTATGACTCACCCATGAAGTCCTGCTGTATGAAACTGTGGAACTCCTTCACCAAGTCCACCACTGAGGAATTCAGCCTGTGTATGTCGGAGTGAACGTTCACCAGCTGGACGTTCTGGATGTTGTCGATAAGATCTCCTTGAGACATCACCGTGACATTGAGTCTGTTAACACAGCTCCACAGCCCAGACACGTGTCGGTTCAGGCCCTCCTTGATCCTCTCCAGGCTGTCTGAAAAAGAGTCGAAGCGTCCGCACACCCCTTCCAGCTTGGAGAGTCTTTGGTCCAGGCCGTTGCTGGAGCGCCGGCACTCCCCAATCTCCGTCACAAAGTTGCTCCTTATGACTTGGATCTCTCTGCCCAGACTGTCGAATCTAATCTTGGAATCATCAACGTGCTCGGTCAGCTCCTTCTGCAAATTGTCCACCTTGTAGAGAATGTAGACATTCGTTAATGTGTGTATTTTGGAAAGGTTTCTTTTGAAAAGTAGTCCTGTATAAATATACTTTTTTTCCCACCTTTGCTCTGATTTATTTTCCTATTGTATCTTATACACACAAAAATATGTAAGCATATAATCTAATGCATGTCTGTCAAGAACTCAGAGTTTGCAATAGGCTCAAATATTTTTCTAACTATGATAATATTTTGTGAAAAGACGGTTGCCAAGATAACCAAAAGGAATGTTTGATGGACATTGAGGCTATTTCTGAGTTCATGAAGAAAAGTTATGCTGCTGTACGAACAGTTTAATAAAACAACAAACACATCAGGAGCAAAATGACCATTACTGTTATCATAATGATGTTCGAATCTCCTGTTTAGTTCAAAGGGTAGGGTTCGACATATCGCAGTGCAGGGTTTCTCGACAGGGGCCTTGAGTCCCCAAGAGAGGCCATAGGATAAATTAAATATTATCAAGGAACACAGGGGGGAAGAAAAACATAATATTTTCCAAAACAAATTCCAATTATTTTCCCTATTTGGGCTGCTTACAACAGAGCAGCAGCTTGGCTTTATACTAGGGCCCGACCGATATGGAATATTTGGGGCAGATACCGATATCTAGCTTAGGGAGGGAAAAAATCTGATACCGATATATCGGCTGATAACCTTCTTTGATCTATCGTTGATCTGTAGAGATAGATAGATATAGATATACACATGTACTATGTTGATCATTTAAATGCAGTTATCATACACTTAATAATAATTAGTAAAGACACGATGGTCAGTCAACTGGAAAGTAAAGGTTAGCGGTTGTATCACAGTTTGACAGCTTGTTATAATCCATATAGCACACTCTGCTGGTGACAGCCAGAAAGAGAACTGCTAGTTTAATACAATGAAACTCAAATGAAATGCTATTTGAATAAATCTAGTAATAACGGCACATATCTGCGATAAAATTAGCCTATACCGATAGTAACTTGATATGCTACTATTGGCCATATTATTGGCTGGGCGATTAATCGGTCGGGCTCTACTTTATACAAGGCGGTACTTTGGTCCACCAATCTGGTCCGAACTGGATTTTTATCATAATCTACTAAATGGATTGACATAAAGTTTTGCAGATATTCATAAGCCTCAGGAAAAAAACATTTCTCTTCTGAATTAGTTGAATTGCTCCAAGACTCTTGATATACTAACACCAACAAAAAAGACGCAAATTAGCACTGCAGATATGACCCTGCTCTCTAGGCATAAAAATATATTGAAGTAAAAAACAAGCTGAGAAGGAAATATTTGTTGTGGGTTGTCACTGATTCAACTAGAATTAGAATGCACTGTTTCTGATTTATTAGACATCATTGTAGGTTGATGAGACATTAGTTCTGTTAAAGGGTTACAAAAAGACACACAATCTGTGGAAGTCATACCGTCTTCCTCATCATCACCACATCATCTTACCTCAGAGATAATATCGTCCTTGGCATTGGTCAGGTCAGTCAGTGTGTTTCCATGCCTCTGTACAGTCCTTCCCAGGCCCTTCAGCGTGTCATTGATGGAGTTAAATGTGACTATGGCCCCAGCAAGCTCTCCTTGGATTGACTTCAGATCGCCTCCTAACCTCCCTGTATGGACGCCGTGACCATCAAGGCGGTCCTTAAGATCCTTTATGTTGATTTTACACTGGCCTGTACACTCCTCCACTTCGTCTCTGAGTCGTCCCACCTCCTCCTTAAGGTTGGAGCACACCTGAGAGCAGACGGATTCTCCTGAGTCGACCTTCCTGCGCAGATCTGTTAGTTCTGCCTGGCACTTGCTGAGGCCACTCTTGGTGGAGTTAGTGAGTGAACGCAAGTCTTCCTCTACACTGCTGCAAATGGAACAGTCCTCTAAATCCCGCCCCAGTGTTTCAACCTCTGTGAAAATCCGGTTGAAATTCTCGCCATTCTCCCCGGTTAAATCCTTGATCTTTTTGACATCGTTTGATAAATCGATCACTCTGTCAATCAGCGAGTCTCCTGTTACAGACAAATCCTTTAACCTTGTGTTAAACTTTTGGATCTCCTCTTGGTTGGCCACAACTCTCCACTGTAAGGTTTTCACAGTATCATCAGTATTGCGACCTTTCCCGTTAGGTCCGCAGGTCTCATTGCACATGTTTGTGGTTGAGGTTAGCCTTCTGTCCAGGAAGGTTGTTATGTTTTCCAGCTGACTTAACCGCCTACTGTGGTCGGTGACTGTATCACCAAGAACAGCCACGTCCAGCTCTATCTTACCGATCTTGAAGCTGTGGTCATCCAGAAGGCTGAGGACTATGTTGCGCAGCTGTGTGAAATCTCTCTGGACGCTGTCCTTCATGTTGTTCCCGGTGTTAGTACACCTCTGCTCGGTCTTCCTCACAGTACTATTCACCCTCTTCTCCAATTCTCTCAGTCTGCCATTCAGCCTGTCCTCCGACACTCTTCCCTTTCCTCCACCTGTCCCGGCCAGCTCCTTATCCAGACGCCCTTTAATGGTGTCACATTTGTTAGCTGTGGTGGTGACACGGACCTCTACATCAGACATCCTCTTCTCCAGCTCAGTGACGGTGTTGCAGCAGGCCTTAGAGTGTTCAGTCTCACTGCGGGAGATGTCCAGGCTTTGCCTCAGGTGCTGGTCCATGGAGCTGATCAGCTTCTCCAGGGCTTGGATCCGCTCCCTGTCCTCTTGCTGCTGGCGCCTCAGGTCCTCCACACCTGCCTTAAAGAGACAGGGATTACAAGAACTGTTTGGTAATGTATCAACTTCCTACATTGTTAATTTGTAAGTAATGTGCATCTTGCAGTTTGCAGTCGTACAGTCTTCATCATTAAGACTGGCAATTACCATGACATGACATCTGTCATTAACATGAAGGAGGCTTTATGAATGTTTATGAAAGTTGTCATTAAGTGTCATTTGGTCATTATGTCCACCTTGCACCTAATGCAAAGTGGACAATATTAAGGATGTCTTTGTTTTGACAACTTGACATTAACATGTCATAACAGGACTGATTATCAAACTTAAAGAAACACTTTACTGTATCTGTGAACATTACACTAACCTGTCATATGTGGTGAATGTTGACATTGGCTGTCATTACACCATTATAACAGTGTCATGAATCATTTACCTCAAGTAAAGTGGGACACTTTGGACTAGTCTGGACTAGCTATTAAGATGTCATTGAGTGTTATGACACAATCAAGTTGTCATAACAAAGACATACTAAACAATGTCAACTTCGCATTAAAAGCAACATACTTGACCAAATGACACTTAGGGTGCACTCACACTAGCCAATCCGTACTGTGCCTAAGCATGCTTCACCCCTAAAGTCCAGTTGGTTTGACTAGTGTGAGTGCTCCGATCAGTGCTTCACTTCCTTGGCCCTGGCACGCTTGGAAGAGGTGCAGTCCATGCACGAGCACAAGCACGGGTACACAATGTGGACAGCCTTATTTTATGGAGAATTCCTGGAGTGTTCTGGCTGTATATCTGACTAAAGATAAGCCATAAATTCAGTAAAGTAGCTGTCATGTTCTCTGTGTTGTACTCCGATGTGCAATCCTTTTATTTATCGTTTTATTTTTTTCCGATTCCGCCTGTCTCATAAACTAAGCACGCTTAATAACTACGTAAAGCCAATCAAGTATGACGTTTTTACAAGAGGTAACCGTGCTCAGGCCCGGTTACTCCTGGAGCAGTGTGAGTGCAGACCAGAGGGGGAATGATGGGGGGGGCGGACGGACACAATAGTGCTTAAGCAAGGTAAGGGGCAACTTTGCCTAGTGTGAGTGCGCCCTTAATGACAACATTCACAAACATTCATAAAGCCTCCTTCATGTTTATGACGGTGTCATGTCAATATTATGCATACCCCTTCAGCCAAAGTGTTACCAAACATATGCTACTATGCTAATTAAATATAGACAATACAATAAACAACAACAAACGTCAAGCCAAATACCATCAAATTAATTCAAAGGAGCTAATAAGAGGGTTTTGGTTTAATTTGAAATTTTCCAATAATACTTTATAGAGTATCTTGTTGAGAGTAGTGTTGAAATGACGAGGCAATAAGATTTACAACAACCACATACACTTTTACAAACATGCAAAACAGCTGTGAGTAAAATGGGTCAGAGTGCTGTTGTTATGGGTAGAGAGATTATGTGTCAGTGACCAGGGGTTAGAGATTAACAACAATAGTTGGTTTTATGTTTAATCCATCTTCCCAATCCTTTCAAACTGCTGAATTATAATGTTTTGACCACAGGATACTTGTGTACTATGTTTTATTTACACAGGAATGCAATTTTCATGTATAACCGTCTGCAGGTGGTTGATATTTTTTTCCTGTTTAAGGCAGTGGAAATAACTTACAGGAGTCTATGTGGAACAAAGTAAATACATTTTACAGCTACACAAAGTATGACAAGACATAACATCATGACATCAATAAATGCCGCAGACAAAGGGGAATAATGTTTGCCCCTGAGGCCTGCACATCAGATTTGTACATATTGAGCCTTACCTGGCAGGAGGAGCAGGACAAAGACACCCTTCTCTCTAGCTCCGTCAGTATCTCTTCCTTCAGAGTATTCAGCTGGTTTCCTCCAGACCCTCCTCCACCCCTGACCACTCCGTCCAGTTCATTTCCCCCTCCGTTCACAAGGTGGTTGTTGATGGTTAGCAGGGTCTGGTCATGGACCTGTAGAAAAAAGAAGACCACTAATGGTAAAATGTCTATCATTGCATTAAAATTCTAAATATTGGGGTGCCGGATAGCCTAGGTTATATTGTACACACGAGCAAAGGCTATAGCTGCATTAGCCGTGGGTTCAAAACCAGCCTTGGCCCTTTGCTTAACATTTGTCTAATTTCTTCTTTGATATGAAGGCTGTTAATACAAATACAAACAGTGTTTACCTGTGTTCTGTTGTAGAGATGGTCCAGTTTAGTCTGGATGGTGTTGATGGTGTCCTTCATGTGTGGCTGAGCTGAATCAGCAGGGACAATGGCCCCATTCAGACCAGGCCTACACAGAAGAAGGATAAAGGTTTCTTTAAGTTTTGGATAACCTATCCTAATAAAGAGGTACCTGATGGATTAGACATTTTTTTCAAATCTTCCTACCCTAATTACGAATCCCTGAATCTGTGTTACAAAATGAGTGCAAGCTGTCAAATAAATTGACATGCTGGAAAAATAAAAACATCAAATGACAACAACATCAACCTGTGTTTTTCTTTGAAAGTAAAAAAGCTTCTTGTTGCTGCAAAAATGTTTTTACCTGTTCTAGACTATGGTGATCTTTTGTTCATGCACGCCTCTGCTCAGTGTCTCACATGGTTGATACAGCCTTCCATTCGTCCTTGAAGTTCATAACAAGCTGTAAAAGTCTGACTCAACCATTGTGAGTTGTACTTTCGGGGAGCATGGATTTCTCTGGAAACCCGTAGGCATTACTGGTACATCTTTATAGAAAAGGCAATTCTTGGTCTGCTCCCACACTATATGATATGTGTTTTTATCATGCGGAAAAATACCAAGCAGTATTCTTTGCATTTTCAGGACTTCTTTATGCTCTCTGTCCCAAATGCTTGGACAGAAATTGGAAAAAAGGGCTTTTTGGTTATTCTGCACCCTCAGCCTGGAATGTTGCAGAATGACTTGAGCTGGTGTCCTTAAATGTTTTTAAATCTAAAATATAAGACGTGGAAGCAGATCTAGAGGATGACTTCAATGTTTTAACTCGACTGCTAATACTACTGACTCCCAGTTTCGACTCATAGATGGTTCTCTTTCAATGCAAATGTTAGTGTTTTGTAAATTGTACTTTGTCTCACTTTGTGCCTCAGTCTGTAACTTTGTGTTTTTTTTGTTGCTGACTGTCTTGGTAAGGTCTGCCTTGGAAAAGAGGTTCTTAATCTCAAAACCTGATTAAAAAAAGGTTAAAAATACTCAGGATCAACACTTAACCCATAAAACTAGCATGTGGCAAGTTTAATTGGATGTAAACTGTTTGGGTTTGCAGGTGATTGCACGCCATACCTTGAAACATGTACAGGATTTATTGAGAACAATGTTTACTTACAGTTTTTGGTTCATGCCATTAATGCTGGTCTGCATGTTGTGGAGGTCTTTGGTCAGCCCACGGACTGTATCCTCCAGCTGTCTGATCCTCTCAGTGTCACCTGGAGACAAGAGAAGAAAAGTCAATATGCAGATACGTGCTGTCCAAGAATGTATAAGAAGCAACAGCTTTACTCATGCACATCACATGTTATAGAGAAAAAGTTGACAATAAACATAGCAGTCATACTGAATTAAATTTAAATAAACTTTTCAGATCTTTCTTCATGTCTTTCTTGTTTTGTTTAACTACTATCCCTGAATCTTTTTTTAAACACTCTACCTTCTCCTCTCTGTCCACCGCCATTGTTGAAGCCCGTCTGTGGGACACGGGGTCGGCCTCCATGGACTTGTGTGTCTGTGGTTCCCCTTGGCCCATCCTGGCAGTCTTCCCCGGAGTAACCATGACAACACTTCCACTCCATTTCTGTCACCATTTTGTAAGCTACCTTATACCTTGGCCTTCTGTATGTCCGGTAGCTGAGGATGAAATGGAAATCATCTTTTTTATTCGTTCTGACTTTACAGGACTTCAAAGCTGACTTGTGTCAGATCACCAAATAGACATATATGATTTATAGTGTGAACATGATACAACACCCCTAGTGGTGTCAGACTGCTGTACACTGTTAATATTTATGTTCAGTGAGCAGGCATGTTTCCAGACACAATTGAACTCCATTTATTTCCTTTTTCTTAATCTCCACCATGAACTTCTAAATAATAAAAGAGGATGGCGACATATACATCTTCATAGGTTAATTCTTTAAGAACTGAAAATGATGTTGTCCAAAGTCACAATAAATTGCATGCAAACTGTCCAGGAGTTTGAAGGATTGCTTGCAAAGAAATTCTCTTAAGAAAAAGATGTACAAAGAATTTACTTACGATTTAAAACACAAGAAGATTAGACAATATGTTTAACCGACATATTAAGAAAACTACAAGCAGCCTGTTGCAACACAGCCCAAGTTGTTGGAGACAAATAGCAAATCAGAGTTTTGGATTTTGAGATGGTACTTGGGGTGGCCAATAAGATTTCAAGGGGGCCCATGCCACCAATGGCCACCCTCTGGACACACCTTGGCAGTGAGACATAAGATATCTGAATATTAGGTCATATCTCAAAATCAACGAATGTTGTTAGAATAAAACTGCTTTAAAAACTTTAGATCTTACTCTTCGTCTGACATTCCAAAAAATATGAACTATATTTAGACAGCACTATCTCTCAGCTTGAAAAATAAAGTATTTTGTTTTTAGATACTTTCTGTATGCGTCATATACCTCTACAGCTGAAGAGACTTACTGCTTGAGCAACAACACAATAAATAGACCAGAATTGGCCGGAAAAAGATTTACGGTGGCCTCACAGGCACATTAACAAGCCTTAACTGTGAACATTCAACTGCTCTCCTTTTTGCCAGCCCACAAACATCACTGTAGGTATCGCAAGGCACTTTTCTGTGCCATAGAAAAGATTTCATCTTCCAGCTCCCTGCTTTGAGAGCGTGAGAAAAAAGGAATCCGACGTCTACTTGGAGGAAAAACAAGAACAGGGGTTGGAAAGACGGCCGTGGGAGGAGTTTGTCGAGTAAAAGAAGGAGTAAGAAGGGAGGAGAGTCATAAAAGAAAGAAATACAGAGCAAGAAGAAGAGATTGTTTTTACAGGACGGGAGACTAGACTGTGGTGCCTGGAACCCCTGTCAGCCTCATTCTTAGCATAGTCCAGGTTTAGGCCAAGGCCTCTGGCAGGCATGGGGATCAAGCAGCCAGGACAGGGTCAAAACTGGAGAAGGCTTCAAAAGAGGTAAAACATCAGGAGTGCTGGATTAATGCTGTCTTGAAAACATCCACATTTGGAATAGCTACACGAAACAAAGACAATTTACTCCAACAGTTGTATGATCAAATTCCCTTTGGTCTGCATCAGGCAAACTGAAACTCCACCACAGTAACATGAGTACGTCTGAGAACAGAATTCAGTGAAAAAGAATAAACAGCCAAATCCTTTTTTAAAAGATATTTTTTGGGCAATTTTTACCTTTACTTGATAGGACAAAAGATGAGACACAAGAAACTTTGGGAGGAGTGACTAAAGGGGGATGACATGCAGCAAAGTGCCAAGGTTGGATTTGAACCCAAGGTCTATAGCCTCTGTCCAAAGGGTGCACAACATAACCACTTAGGCTATCCCGCCCCAAACAGTCAAATCCTGGACTGTCATTAAATCTGTAGCAATGTTCTGCCTGCACAAGTGAGCCACAACCTGACACCCTCCTGATCAGTCTCTACTTGAAACAGAACAGACAGAAAATGAAAAGAATTGAATGAATTCCATATCTAAAGACAGGAAAGGATGGAAAAGAAGAGGATGCAAGCGTCTGTGGAATCTGAAGACAGGAAGTTGCTGTAGTTAAATTGAATCGCCTAAAGATTATATTTCAGTAACAGAGGAAGAATCAGAGGAGATAGAAAATACCAAAGATGGGACGGATACTCACGCAACTCTAGGACATTGGCCCCAGGTGCAGCGTTGATAGTCTGGCTTGATGTATGTCTCCACTCCATCCTCCATCACACAGCTGACAGTGCGTGTCACCAGGCACACACAGTCAGGCATACACACACACACACACACACACACACACACACACACACACACACACACACACACACTCAGTATACACTCTGCTGCTGCTCTTTGTCTCCAGGCAAAAAAAGAGAGACTTGAAAAAATAAGAATCTGGATTCTTGTCACTTCTTTGATTGTTCGGCTCCGCTGTGAGGCTTGAGATAAATATCTCAAAACCCTGGACTGATTATATTTCTGTTCAACTTTCAAGAGAAATTGTTCTCTTGCACAAATGTCTGATCCGTTCAGGATAACTGCATGAGTTTAACAATGGCTGCCATTGTGTGCCTCCCAAACTCAACACTAACCAACCCACAGAAAGACACACACACACACACACACACACACACATGCTTACATATTTTTCAAGAGTTTAAACTGCATATCCATGTGAAAACCTTTGTGAAAAGATTTATTTTTGAGCTTTCATGCCTTTATTACACACACACACGCTTACATAGCGAGGGAGTGTGGGGAATGACATGCACAATGACAAGGAGACACAGGTCGGATTCGAACCCAGTGCCCCTGTTTTCAAGGACTTTGGCTTCTGAATATGAGGCACGCACCAACCACTAGGCAACTGGTGTCCCTACCATTGTACCTTTGGCTGCCATAGTAGCCTCCAAAACTCAACACTGACAAACCCACAGAAAGCCACACCCACACACACACACACCCACACACACACACACACACACACACACACACACACACACACCTTAACAACAGGGACTAACCCACAGAAAGACACACACACACACACACACACACCACACACCACAACACACCACACACACACACACACACACACACACACACACACACACACACACACACACACACCTTAACAACAGGGGACTTTCATTCTTCACTATACAAGTGTGGACTTCTCTTTCTGGTCGTTAAATAAAATAGTAATACCACATTGAATTGTTATGTCTTTAATCATAATGTTACTTCAAATGTGTTTTTGTGTTTTGCCAATGGTTTTATTAAAATGTTTTTATAACTCCAAGTGAATCTATCAACATTTGTTTTAGTTTACAGGAAATTAAATGAATGAATCTGGAATAATTGGCCTCTGTACAAAGTTGACATTTTTAAGCCTTTCTACTTAAAGTATTTTCTTGATCATATGCACACTAAAGGAGTTGTTGATTTCTGTAATCATTTATCAGGTATAACAGCAAAGACATTCCTTCTTAGTGCAAGTGAAGTGAGAGATTTGGGAAAAACCCTCTTACCCCCTGCTTTAACTTTATAACCCCTGACATCCAACTTTGGGGGCTTCCTGTGTAGCCAGCCATTTCTCACAAATGACTTTCAGACATTACTTCTTTTTTTTTTATAGTCAGACAAGAAATTTGAGAAGCAAGAAGGTAGTTAGTCTTAAAAAATCACATCCAAGAAGGGAATGCTTGGCAGCACTTGCATGCAGTTACCTATTACTGTAATAAGCACTGATTAAAACTAAATCATCATTAAATTACTAGCAACAGGTTTCAGGATTGTATTACTGCAGACTGCTTTCTGCTCTTTTTAATTTCCTCACAGACTGTTTTCATGCACAAAGCCTGAAATCATCCAATCGACCAAGCAACTGAAAACAGGAGTGAAAAAACAATTTGGGCACGACTCACACATTTAGCTGTGTTGATCCTTACAAGTTATACCTTGTTTTAAAGGTGACATGAAATTCTTCTCGTGCGTGTGTGTGTGAACACAAATGCCACAAGTACAAGTCTGTACCCCTGTTTGGGCCACCCCAATCAAAAGAAGTCTGAACATGCCCCTGGTTGACCAGAAACCCTTTTTGGTTGACAAAAAATTCCATCCATTGGCTCCAATATTAGCTGACTTAGCTTATCTGATCTTTTTTTGTGATGAAAGCCCACTTTGAAAAACAGCGCTCCAACAGCACTGGATGGATGAGAGTGCTGAGAGCTCATCTTAAAAGCTGAATGAGCAGCTGGAAAACCAATGCACGCAGATACAAAAAGTGGCTGTGTTGAGCTGTGTTGCTAATTCTTTGCGTTTGGCACAAGAAGCAAATGTGCTGCTGTTTTATACATCCAGACACACTGACCAAGATGGAGTCGTGTTTCTGGCAACTTGGCAAATATAAGTGGAATATTCTCTCCCCTTGAAGTACCTTTTTTTTTTTTTTTGCTCTCCACCAAACCCTGTGAGACAAACTTGGTCATTGCTGGTAGACGTGCTAGCAGCTATTAGTCTCTAACTCTGCCTCCTTTAGTGCTGATCTGGTTGTGTTTGATCTGCTTGTTTGTTTTTTACTGAAGACAGAAGTCTGGTGCAGTGGGGTTTATCAGAAACTCTCTTTTATATTTGATCAAATTAGTATTAAACAAATACAAATTATAGCAGCTTTAAGGGGAATTAACAGGTTTAAATGTAATCCAAATGTATACCCTGAATCAAACAAAATAAACTGGAAGAAAATTGTCCCCACGCACTGGCACAGTTATAAGAAACACATACATGCTCCCACATACTACTCTATGTCTACATGCTTCTCAATTTGTCCCAATCCCCTCTGACCTGCCTTGACCCCCAGATATCTTTCCTGATAAGAACCACAGAAAGGTTTAAGACACAGACGTCCTTCAGTTGCTTTCTATCATCATTTTCCTATTACCCAGAATCCTCATCCACTGCTATTCCCCCGATGGTTATTATGGCCAATTAGTGTCAGTCTTGCATTCATCCGAGCAGAACTTTAGTTGGTTGACAGATAAAAGTTGGAGCATACAAGGAGTTCCTTCATGATGAAAAGTCCATCAGCAGCTTCCCTCTCTCTGTCCGTCTATCCGTCTGTCAGTTTTCATGTCACTTCTTCTCTGTTGCTCTCCGTACAGCTCATTTGATTTTCCCTTTTTGGCCCGCCTCGTCAGTGTGGAATTCTTTCTTTCCATCTCACTCTTGCTGTTCCTTTTAATTCCTTCCCCTCCGTCTGTCTCCCTCCCTGTCCATCTCTGTTTATTATCTCCTTCTCTTCCTCACAGCTTGTCTTTATCTCCTCTTCTGTGTGACTACACCTCTCCACTGTTCCCCTAAGACGGTTATCCTCCCCTTCATTCCAGAGCCGGTCTGACTGACAGAAAGAGTTTATCATGTTTCGATCCTCCCCTGTCCCTGATGACCTCCTCCTCATGACCCCCTATTCCTGTTGCTACTGTACGTGGGAAAGTGAACAGGACTAATGAGCTGTCAGATTCTACATTAAAGCTTTTCCTCAACAATCACGAGGAACGCTCTAAGGGTTGGTTGACCTGTAAGACAGGCATGTTAAATATATTTTCTGTTTCAGTGTAATCCGATAGAGTAAAATGACTTATGTTATATTTATTTGTTAATCGATTTGTTACCAAAAGCAATGGGATATCTGAACTAGTCAGATTTTCTATGAATCACCAGTTATGATGACATTATGCAAATACAAATGCACAACCCAATCTATTTTTATCAGATTATAAGGCCCTAAAATAGTACAGGTCAGTCTGCCCTCATTGTGAGTAGCAATTTATTTTGTCTGCATCATTTGGATGAATAAGCTCTAAAGCCTGCCGTTCACTATGCAGCCCTATTGCACATTGTTAGTCATTTAGAGTCGTTTCATGCCCGTGTATGTACACAGTCCGATACAGCAGGTGACAGAATGCACATAGTTGGTTTGCAAATCCGCCAAGAAGCAGAAAAAAGAAGCAGCAACCATGGCAACCACTTGCGGGCTGAGTCCATCCTGTGGTTGTTTTTTGTTATTTCTGAGACCCTCTTCCTACTTCCAAATGCAACATGCCCGTAGGACAAAACAGGCCCGTTCTATATGGGTAAAGAATTTTGTACTCGGATCCTGGCCTGGGTCCCTAATGTGAAACCACCCTGAGAGCGTTTTTGCTGTGTGTGTGCGTGTACGTCTATTTGACCCATACATATGAGATGGCAGTTATCAACCTCCGTCTGTGTGAGTTTTCTAATAGCAATTGTGAATGCTCCGTCCTGATTTAACACGTATAGTGTGAGCTCTCAGGTCGTGACCTACGATCAGGTGCAGTGTGAGCACATAAATCGCGAGCTTTGGTTGTGGATGGTAAACGATTCAGTCCAACAGTGTGAGCTGACATTCAGTCACAACGATCTACAATCGTACATGCCTTGCCGGGCATCACGAGTATAACGGTTGCTTCTTTGAAAAACAAGACATAATGGGTTCTTGGTGTCCTCTGTTGAAATTTGGCTTATTTTGTATATTCACAGTATATCATGTTCCTTTAGAGCCACCACCACCAGATCAAACACAAGGGAATGTTTCGAAGCTGAAGTCAATTGTTTTTCATTCATCTAAAGAGTTCTTTAACGCCTCTTCCAAAGATTTGTGGCTTGTCGGAGAGATCCAAACACCCTCCTCTATTTATGCACATGATTGTGTTACTGTTTTTTTATTCTGTGGTTTGTGTTGTTGCCTTTAATGTTTCTATAACTTGGATGGCTGGTGATTTGGAGAATCTCTGTCACCATATCTGGTAACAGCTAACACAAGTCCATCCAAACACAGCTGCGTCTCTCCTCATGTGTTTCCAGAGTATTGCGGTTCTTCGCGGTGATCTCTATTTTTATTTATTAGGTCATTGGATGGTTCGAGCCTGAGTTATCTTATACTGTGGCTTGTTGTACTTTAATGTGTGCTTTGGACTGAAAGTTTTTGAACAACAATAAAAATCTCCATCAGGAGTTGGCGCAATACAGAGGGGATGGAGAATGTTTAAAATAAGACAGTGGTGATAAATCAAAGAGCTCTGCCTCTTCCCCCGGCAGTCCCACTGTGTTGCTTTAAGTCACTGTGATTCAGTAAGACAGCTCTGCCAATCTATTATCCTGACTAAGTGACTCTCAGGGTCACAGACACAGCAGATAAAACATAAAGTTGGCAACATTCACACACCATCATCCCAGATGGGGAACAGGCGCTGTGTCCCAATTGAAATAAACACAACCATCACACTTTCTATCACGATTGAGCAGAGGCAGATGTGGATGCATGGCAACACATATACAACACAAAATGCAATAAAGTTGGGCTGTTGTGTACAATGTAAATAAAATCAGACTGTGATGATTTGTCAAACATTGAAACCCAATGTTTGATTAAAAATAGAATGAAATGATGTGCCTATTTCATGATGCCAGCAACAGGACCTGGTTAACATGACGCTGTAACAACCTTTTGAAACATTGTTAGGAATGATAGGGAACAGTGAATTTTCCTATTGTTCTTCCGTAGCTTTCTTCTTTTTCTTTTTTTAATTAAATTTGTACTGGCTTTCATGGTGGAAATATAGAATGGGTCTAAGCTGTGTTGATCTTGGTTGTCCAATAGTCTTAAATGCACCGTTGAGGTGTGTATACAGAGTGGGTGCTGTGTTGCCTTTAAATGACGTAATAAATCTCAGGCAGCTGAGAGAGGACCCGTATGGACGCCGACTTGGGTGCTACCTGGCTCGATGGCTGACCTACACTAAAACAAAAACTGAACTCATAGACGAAGCCTGGGCTTGTTGCGCACCCAACAACGCCATCCAGTGCGAAAAAAAGGGAAGACCAGCATGTAGGTGAGCTAACCCAGCCTTGTTTTTTTCCCTGTCGTGAAAACCAGTCCTTTCTGCCACCTGTCCATCTCTTGACCTTCTTCCACACTTCAGCTTAGGGCTAGCTTTTTGGTTTGTGTAGCCGGTGCTAGCTCGTAACATGTTGCTGTCATCACATTTAAAACAGGCATATCATTCTACAAAATCAATAAAATATTTGTTTCTACATCTTGACTGTTCTCCTTCTGTTACTTCTGTTTTTTACTTATATTCTGCTCAGCATCCCGACTTTTTTGAATTTGGGGTTTTACATATATATGCAAACATCTAATTGTCTCTTTAACCCCCAAACAGCCACACTGATTGTGCACATCACCCTCTCTGCTGGTGTATTTTCCATAATTTAGTCATGGCTTCTCCCTCCAGTGAAATACATAAGAGAAGTCTTTATACTCGAGGCAGGATGACTGTTAGTGTAGCACTGAGGGAGTGTGTCTGCGGGTGTGTGCGCTTGAGTTTAGGCGTATGCCCTCCACAAAAAGAGAGTACAGTGTGTTGGTTATTCCCATTCATGTGTGCCTGCATACATGTTTCCTGTTGGATGGTCGACACCTTCCACAACTTTTCACATTACCCCTCCCCCCCCTCTCCCTGACCACTGTGAAGCTAAGAAATTCAAACAGTAATCCAATAAAGGCCCATTAATCCAAACGGCTGCGGAGAAATTGCTCAAATGAAAGTTCACTAACAAGACTTGGCATCTTTTCCACAAGAGTAAAATAAAGTTACAAGTACTACTCACGGTCTGGGACAAACACACAGCATGCAACCATGCAGTCAATAAAGACAGCCACACAAGGACAATAAATGTGTGTGCATGTTTGTGTGTGTGTGTGTGTTAGCATGCGTGAGTGTACGTGTGTGTGTGTGTGTGTGTGTGTGTGTGTGTGTGTGTGTGTGTGTGTGTGAGTGTGTGTGTCTCAATGGTATTTTCAGCAGCTAATCTCCTTAACAATATCACCAAAAGAGAAAAACACTGCAAATAAACAGTCCAGTTCCTGTACATTTTTCAGATTGTTTATATCTTCAGATCAGATTAAGATGTAAAAGATCAATGTAAAACTTCAGCACAAAGCTTCATTTAACTTTAAACCTTTGTGTTATTTAAGCCCCCAAATCATTTATGGGTATAATGACTTTTCATTGGATCGACTAGATTCAGATCGACAGATTCACGCCCTGCAACCAAACATTTAAAATCATCAATATTTCCAGCTTCTCTCAGATTTTTCAGCAAGTTGGTTCCAACGTCTCGGAGAGTAATGTCTAAGAGAAAGCATTACCAAATGTTTTCTTTCTGCTCAGTGGAACAGCTAATGCTCCCCACAGAACAATGTGTGGGAGATGTTATGTGCTGCTTCCTATAAAAGGTTAACAAGAGAATTAACCTAACCAAATGTTTTTATATTGGAAGTATTTTCTAACACCATGTTTTGTTTAAACATGTGGAAAGACTAAACGATGATGTCTAACTGGTTGGTTTTAGAGAATCCAATGTCTGGTAAACTTGACAATACAATAAAGAACAGCTGGAGTAACGTCGACTAAAATGATGTAACCTGTCCAAACAAACTGATTGAAAGGTGCATTCATCAAAATGTGCTGACAGCATATACAGTACAATACTGCAGCTGTTTAAACATATAGGCAGTCCTGACAATTTCTAAAAAGCTTCAGGACAGCATGCCCCTGAAAATGTACAAAGTTTTTGATGTTTACAGGATATCCAAGATGGCGAGCAAAGAAGAGCTCAACACTACACAGACAGTATTGTACTTATGTTGATGCTAAGTTTAGTATTATTGATAGAGTGGAAACATGCTTGCGAGCAGATTAGAGTATGAAGCTGCTTTATTTACGGTCACATCGATCACTCCGGTTGCTTACTAGTTGAAGATATGAACATCACCCCCCCCTCATGTTCACCTGCATTAAATTTAAACCTGCCTTAACATGCTGCATTCACACACACAGCTCACACAGAACATATAAAAAAAGAGATTTAACTACTGTATGTGTGAATACAGTAGAAGTCATTGTAGATTAGAAATGAATATCAATATTTGGTGTTTAATACCTAAAATCATGTTGGTATCTTTGAGGTCTTTTTTCAGTGAGCTGACTGCATTTATTATCCTGTAAAACATTTGAAAATCTGTCGTTAAGTTATTAATGCTGCATTGTTTTTATGCATGTTTGCTGTAGATAAAAGTGCAGAAATGTTCTCGCTTTGCTAGCACAATGTTATAATGCTACTTTTGCAAGTGAACGCCTTCAACTATCAAACTGTGTGAAACTATTATAAACAGTACACATTATGTTATTATGTGCTCCTGTGCATATTACATGCACTACTTTGTACTGTTATCTATGAGTAACAGCTACTTATGCACATAGACTATCCATACCACTTTTTTATCCTGGCTGGCTCATGTTTTTTTGTATGGGTGGGATATGTTTGTATATATGTGTTGTGTGTTTGTATGTTTGCTGGCTGCTGGAACACCTAAATTTCCCTGCTGGGATGAATAAAGTATATCTTATCTCTTATCTTATCTCTTATCTTACAAACAAAACGATGAGACTGAGACACATGCATTGGCAAAGAAATGCAAATGTACACACTATGCTGAAATGAAGCAACATTATTCAGTATTTCGAGTTATGTTTGTGTCCAGCTGGAGAAGTGAAGCTCTTTCATTTGACTTGCTTTACCTGACCCTGCGGGCTCAGGTACTGCTGTCTCTTGTTTGGTGCTGAGCAGGTAGTAAGCAGGCTGTTTTAAGAGCCTTTTTTGGGAGGGAAACAGCTGCCTATTAAACAACATTGAGAGTGGTGAGTGAACCAAAACAGTGAAGTCTTGGGCCATAAAACCAAAACAATGAGCTTAGACATGTTGTAAAGCTCTGTATGGTTGAGGTAAACTGCAGGCTCTGGTGATTTGTCTCCGTTTTCACCACCACAAGGCATTTATCGCTTACTGCAGTTTCATGAAATTGTTTGTTTTCACAAAAATATTCACTACAACACTTAAAAATGTAAAAGTTAAAAATGATTTGCTTACACGGACACTCACTGAAAACGCTTACATGCATGTTAATCAAGACACACATGTCCTTCACCTGCAGACACATTCAGACCAATAATGATTTCATTACTTCTCTGCCGGGCACTAAGCAGTAAACTTTCATTGTGCTCGTCTTATTCTTATTTACTGAGCCATGACTCAGCATGACTGGAACTTTTGCGCCTGTCTGAGCATCACTTTATTTACCAATAAATTTCACCCCTCAAAACAGCACACAGACACTCACATAGCCATGCAGGAAGTAGCGGCCTGACATCTCAACTCACACATACCAGGTTCATTTTATCCAGCAGCGTCTCTGCATAAGCCCTACAGAAGGGGAGTGTGTGTAAAACTGGAATAGTCCGAGACAAAAGTGACACAGAGAGTAAGTGGGCGGATGAAGGAATGAAAGAATGAGAAAGAAAGAAAATGGGGTTCAATAGTTAAACAAAGAAAACACTTGGCGGCGCCTATTGTTAAAGGATCTTTCATTTAACTTCAAGGGAAGGCTTCGACAGCGACCTGAATGAGTGGATGGAAAGGGGGTGTGTCTAATGTTTGAACTGTGACCCAAAGGTCAAGCACCCCTTCAATGTCCTTGTGAAGGTATACCCCTGTACACACACTGCAAAGCACACAGACTGTCACAAACGACAGCCTACACACTCGAGTGCACTCACTCACGCTCGAGTGAACGCACGCCGACAGACACACACACACACACACACAGGGGCAGACGCACACATTCTGACGATCTCTCTGCGCTGTCTTAAAATGCAGTTTTACTAGCGCACACACCATTTTCCCTTTGGACTGGTTCCAACATCAAGGGACAGTGTGACTGTGTAAACTCCTCTCTGATTGTTTAGCCTGGCGGTCACAAAGATATACGGAGAATGTCTATGATGCTGCCCTTTGCCTTAGCATGAGGGCTCAGATATATCATGCACGGAGGTCTGCGCCGGGTGCTTCTGGTGCTCGCTTGACTGTTAACCATTTATGGAGCGTGTGCATTTGAAAAACAAGTCCCCTCAAAGCCTTAGAATTTCAGTTTCCTAAAATAGTAGAGATAATTAAAGCAGGTAAGATTTTATATGCTGCTCCAAAGTAGAATTTTTTTTTTTGTGGTTTAATGTCTTGTCATGTTGTCCATTTATAATGTCAGATGTGGGATATCCTTGTTCAGTGGAAGGGATCTAAATCCCTATAGAATTCTGTACTTTTATCCTAACAAGATAAAGAAAGCTTTTTCCGATGAATTGCATGCTGGGAACTATGGTAATTAGGTCACAATAGCTCTAACCTGAAAGGATCCCTTTTCCCACATTTGCATTCCCATATATAATGCGATTTCTATACTTCACTAATTAGCAGAAAGCAGAAAATCACATAGATAAAGTGAGTTTGGAATCTTTCCAAAGTCCTGTCAGGACAAAGACAATCCTGTTACAGTCGTAATGCTTGGAAACATATGCTGCATCTTGGAATGTTAAGGGTCTTCCAGATAGGATACGGTGGGTGCTGAGAGCGTATCTGAGCTGCTCCGAGCTGAGTGCTGCCCCTAGGTCTCGCTTGCCATCCATAAATGCTGCACAGAAGTTAAAAATTACAACGTGGGCGCAGCACTCCGTGAGGTGACGACTCATGGACATGTCCAATAGGAGGGAAGATCAGATCACAACAAAGGGCACTTTCCTGAGCTAGACGTGAACATGTATTGTTTAGAAAGATATTTCCAACAGTTTGGGTGGACCAGGTGTGTTTTAAGAAGCAGCAGAAAATCATGTTGTGCTTGTGAAGCTGTGGTTGTAGCTGCAGCTCCTGGACGAGCCGTAACTCCCCCAAATCCTGCCCTGCCCTTAAGATTTCATGAACCCACACCGACTTCTTCTTTGCTGCTCGTCTCTTCCTCAGCAGGAGAAAGGTGAGGGCTTTCCTCTCTGACTAGTGGACAGCTACATTGTGATGTCTAGAAGCTTCTCAAGTACAAGCTGTAGTAGAAGCGGAACTTCCGCCGATGATTTGTGCGGGTCTGATTCCACACCTGCTCTTGTGCCCAAGCCCAGCGCAGCTCACACTGCATCTTATCTAAAAAACCATTTCATTAGTTGTACCGATTTTTGCAATCCATCAGAGCAAATATACTTTCATAATACTAACTTGTACTAAAAGTTTTTAGTGACTACTGCCATGCTAGTGGTCCACCATGCTTCCTTTTTAGGGAGTTAAACGCGTACATCAATATGCTAAAACGTGCTTACAATGGATGGATGTTTAAAATGTTTCAGTGCTGCCATTAGTCTTAATATTCTACTATGAGTGTGATACGATCCTTGCTAAAGAAGCAAAATGTGCATCTACACAAATGCTGTGCTTTTGAGCAGGTATAACATTAACCATGTTCACTGTTTTGCATGTTTGCAACCATTTAATGCTTATTAGCAATAAATGCAAAGCGGAGCTCGGTCTAATGGGAATGAAATTACTAAAGCCAAAGACATAAATCAAATTATATAAAACAAAAAAAAGTGGACCTCCCTTAGTGAACAATAAAAACACCTGAATGCAATGCAACAGCATTGTCAAGTATGACCGTAAAACGAACAGCAGGAAGTAAAAGAAAGTCCTTTTTTATTTCCACATACAGGACAGGATCAGGGTGAGGAAACGGTCAGGGCGAGTCTGACACTGAAGTTGTTGGATGGGGTTGAGGTCAGGGTTCTGTGAACATCAGGCGAGTTCTTTCACATCAAACTGGGAAAAAAAAAATGAAATGAATGGGTCTGCCTTTGTCTATGAGGGCATTGTAACACTAAACAGGAAAGGGCTTTACTCAAACTGTTACCACAACGTTGGAAACACAATTGGATAAATTGTGTATAGAATATTAGATTCCAGCCAGATTTATTCAAGAAACATGATGTGGGTTGTCATATTTTTGTCACTATTGTGGATGTGTGTTGCTGAGCTTCCAGAACACAGGATGAGACATTAGACTTTGTCTTCGTTCTGCCTCTCTTATTTCCCTGTCTCACTGTAACAATCAAACAAGGCGGATGTCACCAAACAAGCCAAACACAGCTTATTTTAGAAAAGCAGCAGCATGTGATTAAAAAAGAGTAATGTGTGTGCAGTTGCCTCTTCTTATGGCCCCTCTTAGGAACCAAAAAAAGGAGAAAAAAAAGTGGGAGGAATGACAGACATGTCTGTATCTTATTCATGATGTCTCGTCCTTCAAACTGCTCGTGATCCTTAACACATCAGCAGTCCACCTGCGTCCAACCCCAAACACACGGCTCCTTCCTCCTTCCCCTGTCACTGCCTCGAGCTGACGGGCTGACGTGCAGCTCGGACATTTGGCAGGAGATGTGTCGGGCCTGCTCCGGGTCCTCCTGAGCCACGCCCCCCCCCCCCCCCACCCCACGTTAGACCCCTGCTGGATGTCTTCAGTTCATCCAACAGCCTTTACCACTTATGGAATACTTCACACATCTGTCAAAACAGATCAATTGAGTTCAAACAGATGTCAGAGGGGCAAACCGCACTGCCACGGGCCAGCGCATTCTTCTCCCCGATGCGTCACTGTGTGAGTGTGTGTGGTGTTTGATTGTGTTTGTCACAGGCCAGTCATGCTGCCTGACTCCTTCATAGCCAACTGGTTTCAGCAGGGGGAAGGCATGTAAGGACCCTCTCTTCTCTTCCTCACACAGTCTGTCTTTTCTCTTTTTTGACTTTCCTCACTGTTTCATCCTCTCTTGTCACGCCTGCTTAGTTTCTCTCACTTCTCGCCATGTCTGCTGTTTCTTTTGCACTCTTATATCCTCTCCTGCCAGATTTCACTTTCGCTTTGTTTATATTAAGTTGACTTTTTTTTACCTTTTCTATTCTTCTTTCCATTTTTCACTCATGGAACTCACTTTCCTTCTTTCCCCCCCACGTTAACCCAGATAACTCTTCTCTGTATACCGCCCACTGTCTCTCATTCCCAGTAGCCAACAGTTCAGCCTCATCATGCACCGAGCAGGTCAGCCGTCCACACGTCCTGACTCAGGCGGCAGTAGCAGCTCTGATGTGGGAAAGAAACCTGATAGAATCTCATATTGCCGAGGCTCAACTCGCAGGAGTCTGGCTTGCGTTGCGTATACACACGTACACACACACGCTAAGTACAAACACATGCAGGCATGCGAGCAGACACAGACCACATGTGCGAGGTATATAGGCTCCGTCCTTCATTTACTCCGGCATTCTGTTCACACACATGCACACACGTAATAAGTCAATCAATAAGCAGAAAGTTCTTCATTCATCCAATTAGAAGCTCCCAACTTCTGTTCAAAGAGATGTGGAGGGAGAAGGCCTCAGGCAGAAACTAATAACACACTGGGGCTGTATCAGCGCAACAAAAACAAATATAATGATCATAGACCTGAAGTCTAAATCAGTCAAATATCTCACAATACACATTATAAGTCTCGCAGATTACTAATGCCCAAATATTCAGCATCCCCGCAGCTCATCAATACCCACAGAGCTGACCATGTACCTTTACTTAAATGGAAAACACTGCTTGTCAGAATGATGGATTCCACTAAAACAAGGCTGAGGCTGAGGCTGGGGGGGGGTGCTTTAAAAATTTCTGCGCCCCCTGAGAACTTTTCACTCGGGGCCCTGAAACAGTAAATATCTATAAGCCTTATAAGCCCTGTCCAGCTCTCAGCTCCCCTGAATCATCACACTCCTCCACCATCCCATCACTCCCCATTCTGGGAGGGCCCCCACTGTGAAGAACATGTACCCACCTAGAACATGTTTACAAAAAATACAACATGTTACACTACTGCAAGGTATTTGTTGATGATAATTTCATTTTATGGAGACATTCAAATCAACAAAATGAGGGTGCTGGTGCTGATTTTTCCATTCTTAATTGTGCTCATCATTTTGGTTTAAATGTGATTAATTGTTATTCAAGTAGGCTAATAGCTACAAACATGAGGGTTACAACGTCTGATCAATTTATTTTAAACAATGTCGAGTTTAATATTAATTAGTTGTCTAATGATTTAAACCACCAATTGACACCCATTCAATCTTCAAATACCTCTTTGGTTAAAATTACATTCAAATAAAACAGAATGATATTCCATCCACAGTTTAACAAAACTGAGAAAATCAGCTATCAGTGTACTAATCAATTAGTCACTCAGGTGGGTCCGCCCTTAACCACTGCATATTTGTTCAAAGGTCCACTGGAATAATCCTAAGGACCCCCTTAGGTCCCCGGACCTTGACTTTAGGATCCACATGGCTGGACTACTTGTTGACACAGGCCTTTATTACAACTCTTCAATGTACACTTTATCTATGGAGTGTTTTAAACTGCTGCGCTTCTCTTGTTTCTCAAGATTAAGAAAAAAAACAACACTTAAACTTATGGAGCCACAGGTGTGAACATTTACGCACAAAGTGATCCCGCTCTTGTTGATCCTACCTGTGTCTGCTGGCCGCTCTCTGTCCCGTCTGGACACTGGACTCCGAATACCCGAGACCCCAACTAACCCGGGCCAACGTGAAGGCAAGCAGGTAAAACACCGTCTCCATCCTCAGGTCCGGTGAATGTCTCAATCAAATCAATGTCATTTAATTCCAAAAGTTTATCGAAGAAAAGTCTCCCGGTGTACAATTGGGCTTCAGTAAAGTTCTGTCGATGGACGCAGTTGGTTAGCCATGACTTCAGAGGGTGAGGAAGTCCCGTAAACGTCGCACAGTCCAGTCAAGTGCATTTCAGAGGGTTAACTGAAGCGATGGGAGTCAGACTGCTGCTGCTGCTGCTACTGAAGAGTGGAGCAACATGAGGAAAGTTTCCTGTCAGAGCTCCAGGAGCACTCATGCCCGCTGCGCTCTCTCTTTCTCTCTCTCTCTCTCTCTCTCTCTCCCCCCGTTGGTTTGAATGTGTCCCGCTCCCTCGCTCTGCCCTCATGTAGGCAAATTTCCTCTCTGTTTTTAGCCCAACTCTGCATTCAACTAAAGCTGTAGCCTACTTTATCTGCTATTCACAATCATTTTTAAATGTTCAATACAGTTACAAGAGGACAATCCAAATGAAACAAGGACCCTCAGAAAACCTTAAAAGACCCAGACATTGAAGGTATAACACAGGTGGAACTTAGAATCTTTTGTTTCACAAGGATTTTTAAAATCCAATAATTCAAAATTAAATAGAATTGCATCAACCAAATTAACATATTCTGATAATCCTAAATGTTATGAGGAATATTAGCATTTTAGCACAAATGAAACTGAATGTCTGTAGACTAAAAACAAAGTAACAAACATAGTAGCCAATCTAAAGCCTGTTTTTCATATTATATTAAGAGTATGCATAGTTGTAGACCTATAGATAATAGAATGAGTATTTTTCAGGGTTTTAAGAGATTTCTCTTGTTGGCTTTAACCATTAAAGGTCACATATTATCCTCCTTTTCCAAAAGTTTAAATACGTCTCATAGCTCATCAAAACATGTCTATGAAGTTTCTTGTTCTAAATCCACTCTGATCCTGGATTTGATCATGTCTATAAACCCCTCTATTTCAGCTCTGCTCAGAACAGGCTGTTTCTGTTTCTGTATCTTTAAATGTAAATGAGCTGTGTTTGACCACGCCCCTCTCTGGAAGGGCTTGGGTGGCTTAGGCTTTTTCACACAATGCCTTTTCGATTACGGTGATAAGGCAGACTCAACCTTGTCTTTTGCCCTTTGTGATGTCATGAAGGGAAAATCTCCAAACGACCTGTTTGAGCACACATTTTCTAGAAAGTGGAGCAGGCAAAAGATGGAGATGGACTCATAATTAGAGGGTTTGTAGACAGACTGGGGACACATTTTGGTGTTAGAAAAACATGTTTATTCTACTCTACAAATCTAAAGGACTTTCTTACTTCAGTGGCAAGAGCAAAACATTGGTTAATCATTACGCAATTGAAACCTCCTTAAGATCAGGGGTTGTGTAGCATCATGTTTACTTTCAGATGGATAGTGGAGAGGGAGAGTGCGTATATACTGAATGTCTGTGTGATAAGCTTTAATGTCTTTCATTAACCCAGTCAATCTTAAAGCAATCAGTCTGTCTGCCCTGTTCCACTTTTGATCATGTAGCAGATTTCAATCTTAGTAGTGGATGAAATCTAGCAGCCCTACTTAAGATACACACACACACACAGCGCGTAGTAGCAACTCTTTATCAGCCGGCTGTTGTCGGGGTGTGATTGATGCTGCTGTTCTCCCACAGCAGAGAGAGAGAGTTTGACTCCATGCCATGATAAGCACTGCACTTCATTTCCCCTTCCACCTCCTTACTGTCATTATCAGTATCCAAATTTAGCATACATGCTAAAAAAAGTTAAAAATAGACATGCAAAATCTAAGCAGTTCCCTTTTCAAAGATACATTACCCAAGTTCAGTTTGCTAAAAGTCAGCAAAGTTTACTTTTAGTGAATTAAGAGCAGATGGAAAATGTACAATCCCAGACTTTGGCTAGTTTGCACACTTTTCATCGTTGCTAATCAATGTTCATAGAACCCTGAAACTCCTTTTGTGAGCACTTTCATCTGAGGTTATTATCTTTTTTTTTCCAAAAGTGCCTCCCTTCCTCCTTGTTTATTTCTACATTTTCACTTATTGGAAGCTGCGCATCTCCTACTCTGTGGGCCACGCTGGAATGCCAAGCTCAGCAAACCTCCCCTTGGTCCACTAATGAGTTCAGCTCTCCCAGCTGCTCTGTCACAGACTCTGTGACTCCCCATTGAGAGCATTGCCAGGCATGCCGAGGAGGATGAGACTGTTAAAAAAACAATACATACAACTCAACTTGTTCATGCATGATGTAAACCAGATTGCTGACAACTTGGTATCTCATTGCAGCATGAATCAACCCATCCGACAAGACAACAACAAAACAGATCTTTCTTCACAGAAGATCGAGTGCCACTGTTTGGGCGTCAAGTTGTATCATAGCGTCATTATGAATCAAGTTGACAGTTAAAAGAGGAAAGGTATCTGGTGTACACATAAAGTTGGCCACAGCCCGCTAGGACTCTTGTAAAGTTGAATCTATCACACAGACCTCTGAACTTTCTGAGTCCATGAAAACAGTGTATTAAAATTCCTGCCAAACAGAAGTTGGAACACATAAAGCCGCCTGGGAAGTTGTGACCTCCGCCTGGTGATGGGAGAACCACTGTACTGTATGGCTCATTAACTGTAGCTACGAAATGGTAACCTGGCTACTGTACCTTTCAAATGAAGTGTGGATGGTGTGAGAGGCTGGCCAGGCTGCAGCCTAAGTGATAAGGCTGAGAATAAATGAGAGGCCTCACAAACCACGTGATGCATGACACAAAGCAGATATGAGAGGAACCCTAATGGGCCTAATTTGAAAGAAGGGTTGAAGGCTGTGAAGAAGGAGGACACACATCTTTTTAGAGCGCACAAATGATCACTTACGTTCCCCCTTGTTAACTATAAATCTTGAAAAGCAATTCGTCCTGACGGATTCGCACAGACACAGTCACGCCCTTCAGCCGAATCCCTTCCATAAATGACTTCCTTCTCTGGAGCCAAAGCTCCCACAGATATATTTTTGAAACATTTCCAGAATCAGATGTGCAAGTTAGTACCACCTTTGTGTGACAGGTGCTGCCAGCTTATCTGCTGTGCATTTCAAACACACTTAAGTTCATTCAACCTCTGTGTGTCGTGCACAGCGAAACCTATTTCTTCACCCTGGAAGTGTCTCAAGGAGGATTTGAGGTTTTTTGTTTTTTTTCCAATTACTGGTCTTCAGTTCCTCTTACCCTGAAAGAGGATCATGATAGCTCCTATAATAAGACTACCCCTTTGGTTCGAAATCATCTGACTTCATGGAACAAGTAGCTGAACTGAATAAATATAAAACAACTACCCTGCATACCTTCTGCTACGTCTTTTCAGAACTGAAGACTGAGTCCTATAACCATGTTACCCATTGGCTTCTCTGTTTAAGACACTAACTAAAAAGATCAGTGAGCTGTGAAGGTGTCAGACGCTTATTTGTCATTATCTATCAATCAACCAATTAATCAATCAATATTTGTATAGCGCCAACTCATAACAAGTGTTATCTCGAGATGCTTTACAAAAGAGCATATGGGATAAGAGGTGGAGGTTGAAGTAGGCCGTTCGTGAATAAGGACGGCGGTGGTTGTGGAGACGAGACAGTCCGATGCTGGAGGCTGGGCGTCAGGGACGTCGGGTGGTAGTGGTGCCAGAACACCTCGCTGAAGGGTGGGGGAGCTCTGTCTACTCGAGAGCCTGGCTTCTGCTGCCGGGACAAGGCCTCCTGACTGGTGTCTCTTTACTCAACAATAAATATGCACTGATAAAATGTACATTGTTTTACATTACACTGAATTGTGAGCAGAAGTAGTTTACATGCCACACACTTCTACATCTCATCATCATCATCATGGGAATTTTGAGGACAGTTTGTCTCAAAGCAGGGTTATTGGATCGTAATTCACCTTCCAGGTGGATGTGAGGAGTAAAGGAGGGCGGATGTGGCTCAGTGGTAGAGTCGTTCGTCTCTCAACCAGAAGGATGAGGATTCAATCCCCAGCTCCTGCAGCCACCTGTCCAATGTGTTCTTGGGCAAGACACCTAACCCCAAACAAGTTTCTCTATGAATGTGTTTGAATTGGATTAGTTAATTAATTAGTAAGTCCATTCTAATGGACACAGAGGCTGCTATGTGAAGGGTGTGAATGTGTAGGTGTGACCTGTGGTGTAAAAGTGCTTTGTGTAGCCAGACTAGAAAAGCGATAGAAAAGCTCAAATTCGTTTACCATTAACCATGAAGCCAAAATTGCCAAATTAAGATTAGACCCTCTAAGAATACACTAACATGTTTCAGTTCTGAGCAGAACTGAAGGAGCCTTTTGGAGGAGAGGTGAAACAACTTCAAGATCTTCAATCAAGTTCAGTTACCTTTGGATCAGGTTTCAAATTTACCATGACCAGGATGATTGAGAACCTACACAAGCACTGCATATATTTAACCTATGTCAGTAGAGTTGTCTTCTTTGGACCAAATGTCCTCACAAAATGTTCAATCAATCAAGTTTTTCAAATATTTTAGTTCAACTAAAGTAATGTACTGACTGTTCGGTCGATCGACTGACTGACATGCTGAGAGCATGGTCAATTAAAATTGGTAAAGAAACTGTCTTGAGAACAATAAAAAAGTCAAAAGTCAATAATGCCCTGTTGGTATTTTTTCATGTCACTCAAGAGTCTACACAGCTTGACCTACCTCTGGTCCCAAACGTGTGATCACATGCATGTTAAAGACCCCCAAAGTTCCAATCCAGTGGGAGCTCTATACCATTTGACTGTTTCTTTTAGTTTATGTGCTGATAAATTATATTTTCTCCTGCAGATGCGGCAGGGGGGAAAACTTGCTGATGAGTTTCTTCTGCTTTCCTCTCTCACAGTTCGCCTCCATTCACTCCAATCGCTAGCGTTTTCATCGGTTTGTGTGGTTTTGCACTGTGAGGCTGTCTTTGAAGAATGCGACTGGACAGCATTTCTTTCCTTTCCTGTGGTTTTGGATTAATCGTGTCTTCCTTTCAGGGCCAACTTGCAAAGTGGGATGTACTTGGATTGACCCTGTCAGCTGTGTAGCGTTCTTTGGCTGGTCTACTGGACTCTTGACCAAAGCCACCAAAGCCCTCGGGAAGATTAACATTCCTGTGAGGAGGGGAGTGGGGGGGGGGGGGGATGTTTCTTGCCATTATAAATAGTGAGGATTAAGCCAT